CGACGCTCGAAGCGGATACTGAATGGTGACAGGTTAACCCTTTTAGGTCATGTGTTTCGTGTTGATGTTGTAGCTGTATAATATTCTAAGAATCAATGACTATATGGTTATAGTATGTTATAGTTATAGTCTTTGATATCCCTCTCGGCCAACATTTGCAGGAAGAACAATGTGGCCCACAGCTCAAAAATGCGATGCCAAACGGACCAAAAAAACATGTGACTTTCAGCATCCAAACATATCCAAACATCCAATGCAAGGATCTCACAAAATTGAGTCAATCCCGTGTAGAGTGTAGAGCTGTGTGACGGTTTTTTCTCCCTTTGATCATCCCTGGTCCGATTTGCCCACTAACCTGATGAGCATCGTGGCTACTTGTGATTTCTGAGTATCCACACGATGTTCGTAATTGGTGTGACTTCCTTTTTTCTGGGAAGGCAATTGTTTTGTACATGTTTATACATCACCTCATCTATATATAACGCCATGTGATGAAATGTAATGACAATTTAAATGACATCGATAAGAAGAACAACAATTATCAACACACCGTGTATATATATATATACATAATTTATAATCATGCTGATATCATATGTATCATTCCCATAAAGTTAGGCCTTAACACCACCACCAACCAGCAACCATCACCCTTGTGAGCCCAGGAAGGCATGCCTCTCCTCGTCCACAGAGGCCCTGCACTGCGCCGAGCGCATCGGTTTCCCGGTGATGCTCAAGGCCTCTGAGGGCGGCGGCGGCAAAGGCATCCGTATGTCCCAGAGCAAGGAGGGATGCTGACGATTCTGATGCTGGGACGGGGTACATGAATCAGAAAAAGATGATAAAGGATATACATGGATATACGGATATACCTATATGCGCTATATGGTATAACTAGCTAGTTGATGTTTTCTTGATTCTGCACACAGGGTTGGCGGTTTCTTCATTTGGTCCTGAGTCGATCGTGAATTATGCATGTTTTGTTTTAAGTTCTTTGAGTACAGGGAGAAAGAAGCCAGCGACTACATGAATGGGATAATTGACCTTGGTTGGGAGCCTTAGAAACTGAGATATGTGGGGCACTGGCTCCGACTCCAGTTGGTCAGAGTTGGTGCACTGAAATGTCATGTCACTCGATGTCAGCTTTCTGCTGGAGGGGGAACCGTTAGTATGCAGAAATCAGAACAGGAGATGTCATAAAGAAACCAAACAAGGCAAAACACAGAAGGTGGACATGAACCATATGAGTGACTGCAACCCCATGAAAACCACTGCGCCGCCAAATCCAACTAGTGAGGGAACCAGTTCGACATATTTCGAGGATTTCAAGACAAGATTCCTCTCATATACCCTTCGTAGTGGTTGATTTGGAATTTTGCTGGAAAATGGATTTCTCAATCAAGATAATCTAAGAGTTCCCACGATCAGGCTAAGATGATTTGAGCAGAAACCAGAACCGACCGTCATCCAATATCTACAGTCTGTTTCTTGGGGGGCTCCATCTGGGATGTTATTCATACCATTGCATCAGTTAGTGTGTAGCCCCATATACTTGGATTTCCGCCCATACCATGTATATAATACATACATGTATATATTATTGCATATCATATATGATATTCGTATATACTATAACATACCTATACCTAATACCTAATACCTAATACCTAATACCTAATACCTAATACCTAATACCTATACCTATACCTATACCCATACCATAACATACCTATACCTATACCTATACCTACACCTACATATCAGCCTTCAAAGATCAATAGGGCATTGCTCATGTTGTATTTTGCTGCCTCAGTCTAAGCTGTTTGTAGGAGGAGCTCGAGCAGCACTTTGCGCAAGTTCAGTGACTTGATTTGGAAACAGAGGTCTACAATATATGTTGTATCATCATACCATATCATACCATATATCCTCTGGTTATTTAACATAGCCATGGAAAATCACCATTTTTAATAGGTAAACCATCTATAGATGGGCCATTTTCCATGGCTATGTTAAATAACCAGATGGTATATATACTGTATATATAATATAATATTTATACCCCACGTTTTTTGCGGGTTTGGAGGTCAAGATTTTTTTTTTTTAATTTCAACCCCATCAGACCCATGGAAGGTTTCACTGGGGATCAACCAGTTGGCCCCCCAGACCTTCGAGTTGATGCCCAGCGAGAGAAACTCTGTGAGGGGATTCTTAGAAGGTGTTGGAAAAACTCTGGAAAACAAAATTAAAATATGATAAAATATGTCTGTTTTGTTCATTGAAACATGCCAGAGGATGTACATCCCATTCCACCATATTCCACCTGTCAGTTGCCACCCGTTGGAATGCAGGGCTGAAGTTCCTGGGTCGCCGATTTTCATGATGCAGCTCTGTAGTGGTGCTCGTCACATCGAAGTGCAGATCGTAGGGGATCAGCCCCTTGGAACCGAAGATGTGGTGGGCTATGGAACATGGTGATTTGGGGTTGTCTGAAACAAATGGACACGTTTAAATCCGTCAAATCGTAAACATCCTGTGGTTGATATCCTGGGGTAAACTAACATAGATATCGAAAACCAATGGTTTTCCTAGGAAAATGATTTGTAAATGGTAGGTTTTCCACATCTATGTTTGTTTACAGGAGAGATAAACATAAACATGTTTTGACATTTTTTGACAGGTTGGTTTCCCAAAGGAAACACTCAGACTAGAACATATTGGCGCAAATAACTGGGAGAATCCTCCACATGCAGCTGGAAATAGCCATAAGAATGACAAAGCCCCAAAATCCAGCGGTTAGTCGTGACTTTTGCCATTGAAATCGCCATGAATTGGGGCATATCGCCGGTACATAGTAACACTCCATTTTCAGACACACCTGGCTGATGAAAATCTGGAGGGGTTCTGCCGAAGACCTAGGCACGGTCAGGTGGTGGCATTGAGTGGGCGCGACTGTTCCACTCAGAGACCTTTTCAGAAGATCTTTGAGGAAGGTCCTCCGGTGATAGCACCTTGGATTACTTTCTTAGATACAGTTTTTGCAATATTTGGCGATGGCTGGATTTGGGAAAACCAAGCACAAGCCATTAATTGGAGGGCACTCAGCTTTCAGAATTTCACCTAGAAAGCCATTGAGGAGGGCTTTGACATGATATTCCTAAACTCGTAACATTAATCTGAATAACTATATAATTGATTTAATTGAGGCGACCCCAGATGACTTCACTATCAGAGATGGTTCACAATGAGGAAAGCATCAAAAAATACCTAAAAAAAGGTTTGCTTTAGGAGGTCTAAACATGCATGTATCAACTATTCTAGATGATCGTCAATATTGGTACAGATCCCATTTGTTGCAGCTAACCCATTTTTGCCATTTGAATATTTTGAATGTTGACAACCTCTTTTCGGATCTAGGAACATTTGCTGATTTCTGTTTATCTCATGGCCGGGGACTCCTGGTTGAGGTACCCAGAAGTACCTTCAAGGTCGGGTTCAGCTCCGTTGGTTGGGAGCTTCGTTAGATGCCTCGAACAGTTGACCACTGACTAAGTGGGGTTTGAACCAACGAATTCTATTCTACAATGAACTTGGAAGATCATCAAGCAAACTAAGTTGGTGGTTTCAAGACTGGTGGGTTCCAGTAGATGGTGCCCAAAACCAAACAAAAACGGGCCATTATTATATAAACCCCACAAAGTAGTTGACAGTTCCCCCCATTTTTGGGGCACAGGCTCGATGCTGACTGTTGCAGTCCAAAATTAGGTCATTTGAGGTCCCCGATGAGCTCCGTAAGGAGCAGAAAACATCAAATGCTTTAAGGTCCCGTCCAATCCCTTGATGGTTTTTTACATGTTTTTATATGTTTTTATATGTTTGTATATGTTTTTATATGTTTTTATATGTTTTTATGGGATGATCATGAATAAACTCATATTTTTCAAAGAAAATGCAACCACCAGCTGAGATGTTGCAAGATCGCGGCCACAGGAGATGGAACGAGCAGCGCAGCGGCTGACAGCCAGCATTGGCTACATGGGTGCCTCGATATGTTTTTCTTTTTGGAAAAAACAACATCCTTCCAGTTGCCTTTCAGTTGTCTTTGAGATAACCAGGGTGACTTTCCCTTCTGGGGTCTGGTGACAGGTAACGCGAAGATCAGGGATTGGCAGATATGATCATACTGTAGGGATTGGCAGGGGTTGGGCTGTGGAATTGTGTGGAACTGTATGGAATTGTACAGGACCTGCAGGGGCTGCTGTGTTTGAAAAGGTGCATCAGTTGTGATGATTTCGAGAAGATCTGCGGTTCGCATTTGGGCTTGGGTCAAAGTGGTTGCCGCGAAAATGGGATGATCCACACACACACACAAATCACTTGTATCTTGGCGTTCCATGGTTTTAAATCTTGAAGGTTCGGTCCATGAAACAAAGCTTGTCATGTCAACTTCGTCATCCAAGATCTTAAACAAATGTGTTTGTGCATATAAAATGTATAATTCCTACTGGACCTTTGCATGATGAACGCATTTCCTGGTTCTTCTTATGCACTTCTAAGGTGCGGGGACCATTGAGTACCTGTACAACGCCAAGACCAACCAGTTCCAAGTCCTGAAATGATGGCTGCAGATTTTGCCATCACTATGATTTGGCTGTTACTGAAGGACCCAATCATGGGGGCCTTTAAAGATTGAAGGAGCTGTTCAAATATCTTGAAGTGGCTGAATGTGGCTGATAGGTGAGTGGGGCAGAATGCTACCGAAAATACACCAAAACACCCGGTTCGCCATCAACCCTCACTTGAGATGATGCCTGGGTAGCCTTATCGAATCAGGCATGGCAGTGAATTTGACCCTAGAATCTATGCAGGCCGTGCTAGATAGACTGATGACCGACAGTCCAAGCTGCAACTGGGAGATGCGGCCAAGTGGTGCTCAGTTCCCAGGTTCAAGGATTCTCAAAAAGGTGAAACCCAGCCAAGTTGATTGGAAATTACTGACACCCCAAAGATGATTGTTGAATATATGTGTTTATGTGTTTTTATACGTACTAAAAATGCATTAAACATGACACATGGTTTGTGTGTGTGTGGGTCCATTGGTGACATGTGTTTTAATCCGCCCCTGTTTAGGGCTCTTGATTTGCATGAGTGAGGAGGTAGCCTGACAACTTTGAGTTCCTGTGGGTCCACCAAATTTTCAGAGATTCACCATCCAATTTGCCCCAGAATTACTTGGTCACTGGAAGTCTGTACAGGCATCTACAGACTCAACAAAAATACAACGATTTGTTTGGGGCTGAGAATTCAGGGTATACTACCACCTACTTGCGCTGCTCGGTACAATGATGGGTTATTGCCACTTTTAAAAGGATGTGCACCCCCCATTTAGAGTCATTAAAATCATAAACTAGTAGATACACTTAGCTAGGGGTAATTATTATTGCTCTTTTACAACCGGTAGGGACCCAGCACTGTAAACCCCTGGGCCATGCAGGTTTTACTTCTTGGAGTTGAATCCGCGTTTGCAAGTGGAGCATCCTGTGACCGAAGCCATCACTGGAGTGTGTCTTGGCGTTTCCTACACGAGTGAAACACATATTTCTTACAGAAAGTTAGAGAGTATTCAGATCATATAGAAAAGAACTGAACTGGCAAACATATCATTCATGTCCATTCCAGAACTAAGTCACTTAGCCTTTTTTAAGCCTCAAGATCCATGGCGCCTTGCCTTGGTTGTTTTATAGACCTCAGGAATTTGCCTGCAACCCAACTCCAAGTGGCCATGGGAATTCCACTGGATCGGATGCCACAGATTCGCAGCTTTTACGGAGCCTCGAAGTGTGGCCATGGGACTGGCCGGGCGACAGTAGCCGGGAAAGTTGGCCTGCCGTAGACCAAAACATCGGGTGGTATCGGGTGGTATAGGTTTAATATGGTTACTTATGTTTAATTAAATGAGACTTATGTGTGCTTTGATCCTAATTATTGTGGGGTAACCATGCAACTGCTCCCAGCAAACTCAATTGCCTAACGTTGCGCATGGCAACAAAACTCACTTCATGATCTCACGGAACTAAGGAAAGAGCACTTGGGACGCCACCAAGATCGATTTCATGACAGATGAGTATGTCTACCCCAAGGTGAGCGGTTCCGAGTCGCAGATGCTCACATGGATCTCTTCCTAACATCAAGCTTGGTGGTAGGTGGTATCAAGGAACACAATGCCACATATATGCGAACATATGTACAGATTGTACAGACTGGTCTGATCACCAAATAGGAGCGACTTTGCAGCTTTGTAGTCAATCCAGAAAAGTGAAGCTAATGCTTGGGAGTACGGTGTAATCCGCGTGAGATGAATGGTATTTTACCTCAATGTCTCAGAACCGGTCCCCGAACAGATATCCAAAAACGAAAGACAGGCAATGCAGAAGCCAAAGTGAGCTTATATCATCCAATTTTCATCCAACATGGGCATGAGCAAGAAACTTGAGCACCAAACATGGGATTCATGTGATGTCTTTTTGGCTAAAACAAATGATCAAATTCTAATGTGCCAAAAGGGCCTCCAGTACTCGATCATACTCGTGCAGGTGCATTGCATTGCTGCTCGCATCACTGCAGAAAATCCAGATGACGGCTTCAAACCCACCAGTGGGAAGTGCCCTGCCCAAAGAATCCAAAGAGACGTTGAAGACGGTCTTATGGCAGGGGTTGGTAGAAAATGTAGTGGTGCTAGGGGGCATCCACTTTGACTTGAGATATTGTTTGTTGGCTTGAAAACTTACGTACTTGTTTTGCAGACTTTGGGTGACCCCCAAACAAAACAGCTCGATGGGTGAACGGTTCGTACTGATGTGACAGCGATGTGAATCCTGAAACTGTCACTGGGATGAGGGATGATCATGGATGATCTACGTATCATTACGTATCTAGTGATCTGATGATTTCATGATTTCATCCAAACCTCCCTGGCATATAACCAGTCGACCAGTCGCAAACGATTTACTCCTCACTTCTAACTTTGTTTTCGTTGGTTACAACCGCATGCTGTTGGGATATGTTTTGGACGTATATAGTCTGGATATATATATCAATGTTTCTGAACAGACTTTCAGTAAATCCCCTCGACGGCCCACACCTAGGATTGACCGAATTAAGTTCCAAAGTTCCGTAGCATGCTGGGGATACTTCAGCGTGCCTTGGCCGCTTTGGACGAATTTTCAAGGTGTATCCCAGTGGAGCTGCACCGCACCAGCCTGGGGAATATGGAGGACCATATACACATATACACCCCATTCGACAAGGAGCTTGCCGGCTTTCAATTTGGATGCACCTCGAGTTAGAAAGCGTACTTTTATCATGGATTGAAATTTATATGAACCAAAGTAAAAAGAGGAATGTAGTGCTTGGTGAAGTAATCAGTGACATCTTTGGCTTGCAAGTTCTGCTGCCACCCTCCAGGTGAGTTGGAGTTGAACCAATTCTTGTGGGTCAAAAGCCTGTTACCAATTTTGATTGGTTTGTGATGGTTTGTGTGTTTTTTCTCACTGGACCTCCCAAATAGAAATCACATATCACCACTATTGTTGGTATATATAACATATATACAGAATCATATACATACTGCATATAAGAACTTACATATGTTCATATACCTGCATTTTCGCTGCTTAAGGTTTAATCCAATCCTGAGCACCCCTTCCCAGGTTTGGACCCACGCGGCCATCCACGAGTTCGCAGATTCGCAGTTTGGGCACCTTTTCGCGCGCGGAGAAGATCGAGAGGAAGCGCGGAAGACGCTGGTGCCGGGGCGGAAGGTGGATGTGGAGGGGGGTTTGATGGTTTTGGAGATGCCAGGATACGGATTTCATTGCCGGGATGGATGTTTGATCTGAATGTTGTTTATTATTCAATTGGCAAAAACATGCAAAAACAACTTGGTGAACGGTCGATATCATAAACAACATCAATGGGTGGACAAGATGAAACATGGGAAAATCAAAGACCATAACTGGTCCAATATTGGGCAAACCTTGGTGATTGGTGAAGACACCTTATATGATTGTTTGTCGTACATGGGGTGTATACCCTACCCAGCCAGAACAGCTTCCGACTGCACTGGGTTGAGCCCAGGTGTTGGCCCTTAGCAACTTGGAGGTGGTGGGTGAGATCCGGACGCCCATCGAATATTTGGTGGAGCTCTTGCGAACTGAGGTGCCGACTGGGTCCAAACAAATGGCCTAAATGTGGCCATTTGGTCGTTTTTTTTTTTTTGAGGGGTGAACAGTGGTACTTTAGGTGTTTGGCAGATAAAGGGGGGTTTGAAGATGCTTTCAATTCAAAGAATGGTTTCTTGTACTAGAAAATTGCAGAGGTTCAACAAAAAGCCTCAAACATGCAGTGGTCCCGCCACGGCTACCTTTCCATACAGAAAAAGTCAGGCATTCTGCCGGAACTCCATCGACACCAGCTGGTTGGATGGAATGATTCGGGAGCGAACTGTCAAAGTGAAGTATGAGACCCTTGGCATGAAATGGGGTAAAGCGTAGTCATCCGTAGTCAAAGAACAATATGAACAATGGGGTATAAACAATGCAAACATTATGCAAACATATTCGAGATGTGTTATTTTCTGGGCAAACCATGGCAAGTCTTGATGCATGGTAAATTATTGGGATTGCTGTATCGTCCCACTGACCAAGAATGGTGGTGTGTAGCAGCTTTGCCATGTGGGTGATCAAGCCCAACAGGCATCAATGGCGACACTGGCGAGATATGCAGTAGGTGAAACATGTCAGATTCCCCACTGATCCCCAATGCCATAGGATTCATTATAATGCTGGTTGCACATAGTTGAATATCATTAAAATATATTAAAATATAGATCATCAACATTCACCAACATTTTGTCCAGTTGGATCCGGTTCTTGAATAGCTACTGTAATTATAGTTATAAATAAACATCGTTACTTTATTAATGTTAATGATTGTCAAATATAGTTTATGGGTTAATCAACATTAATCAACATGAATCAACATTAATCAACATTAATCACCATCCATGTTAATTAAAAGCTATCATAAAGGCCATGAATCACCGCGCGTGGTTCCGCGACTCGCCACCAGTGCAACCCAGGAAGCTGGACGTGGTCTTCTACGCGGCCGTGCTCCGGGCAGTGCGCCGCTTCGAGGCCGAAGGGTGCCGAAGGGCAGGACTTGGATGGGAAGATGATGGATCTATCATTAACTATGATATATAGTTATGAATCATGTCATTAATTTATTATAAGTTTTTTATTGTGCTATTACTTATTAGTTATACTTTTGATTATTATATGTTATTACTACCATTTTTGATGATAATACCTTCTCAATGATCTGTTCCCATTTCCCTGTCAAGTAGTACCCAAGTAGGTCATTACTTAATGTTATTATCACTATGTGTGTCATATTCAATTACTATGTAAGTACTACGAGACTACGTGTGTAATTACAATGTATTTATTTATACTTATCATTCCAGTGATGAATCGAATGTGTGTTTGCATGGAATAATGAATATGTTTGTGTTTGGTTTGGTCAAGTATTTGTACAACATATTGTACGATCTCGGATGATCATGACTATCACCACCTGAAGTAATACTGACATTGACTTTTTGATGATTATACGACCAGGGAAATGTTGGCACAGTTCGATTCGATTCGTCACACCATTTCACTTAGATACACCACATGATTCACCCCAAAAATGGGTTGATAAATGTTAAATGACTCATTGGTCCCCAGCCCCATCCCTGTCCCCATCCCTGTCCTCACCATTTTGTTGGGACCATTAAGGTAGCCCACTGACCAGACTTCAGTCACTGCAGGCAAGGGACAAGGACCTGGCAGAGGCCATTGCGAAGCGCCGCCTGGGGCTGTTGCATCAGGCGGGGATGGAGTTCAGTTGAGCATAGCTTTGAGGAATATGGGTATGGGTCAATACCTATAGATACATTTTTAGTATTTTTTTGTGGGATGAACATCCATTTACCAGCTATTTTGGGGTTCACTAGGTACCAGGGTTTTGACCCATCCCCATATCTATATCCCCTAAAATATCTCTACTATAGGATTCCGTGGTATTATCTATGCAACTATTAAGGGTGGTATCCAGATAACTCTGGGCATGGATTTAAAATGATTTAAATGTATTGAATATATTTTTGGTACGGTTTTATGTCAGACAGTAAAAAATATCTCTAGCTGGAAATATCCGGGATAACTCATAGGTATTCCATACCGAGGGACACCACCCATCCTCTCAGAGGTGGGTCACTCCACCGTGGACTTCGAAATCGCCTTTGAAGGGCACAAGTTCCAGTGCCTTGATGAAGAACAGCATGATTTGAAGCGACCACGGATGTGGACATGTTATGACATAATATGAACTATGGCTGAAATATGGGAATTCCATAGCATTCCAAAATCCATCGTTAGCAGGAAACTTGCTCCATTTTCCATGTTCGCATGGTTTCACCATTTTCCACATCTCCATTTTTTTCAGGATCCAGCCGCTTCCCAGGTTCCTGGTTCGGCGCCTGGCCAGCAACCTCTACGACTTCACCGTGGCCGATCAGACCATCCAAACGCAGGCGGGCACGGCGTGATTGTTCTGTAACAGTTCACGACTAGTTGCAGAAAACCCCCAAACCATCCCAAACCTATTGATGTTACAATTATGCATTATGTATATCTGTATATTTAGATGTTTAGTATATTGTGACGTATTATGCTTGTTACATGTTGTTACTACACTCATTTTTGTCATTTCTTGTGCCTTGATGCCACGCCAAGCGGTGCCCTTTTGCCGAAGGTGCGGGTGCAGCCAGACAACTCCTTGCTGGTCTCCATCGAAACATTTCTGCACAAGGGTTGGAACTGATGTTTTTGCAGGTGTTCGTGGCAAACTTGGTATTCTTACCAACAAGAATTGGAGAGATGCCCAAGAAACATGGGGATAGTTGCAACTATCGACAGCTAGGATCTCGATGATTCTCTGTGGAGTTGAGAAGTGGAGTATGGGTCAAAATTCAAGGCGCGAAGATCAACCGACGGATCGATGTCTGGGCAGCCAACCGTTTTTGCCCAGACATTGACCTTTCGGCATTCTGCCAACCATCCATGTGGCTGGGATGGCCAAAGAAGTCGATGTTGGATGATGTTGGATACATTCTGTGCATTGCAATGGGGTTTGGTGAAGGCTGCCCAAATGGATGAACAAGACGACAAGACGACAAGACGTCAAATGAAGCCTTTGTGCTCACAAGGTTTATTGTTCAACCCCCCCTGAACTTCTTGTAGTGTTGCCGAATATGCCTCGATGTGTTGATATTTGGCGAGCTTTATGTTTTCTCAACTATGGAGATTCCCCACAATGTCCCTTCATCAGCTGCTAATAGCGCTACTAAATAAAACAGGAGCCAAAAGAGAATACATGCACCAGATGCCATACACCTCCATACCCAAATCCAAGGGAACATATAAACAGCGTAATTAGTTGATATTACTTACACATACTTACACACATGATTTGAAGGTTTTCACCTGTTTCAGGTGGGCATTCTTGTTGGAAGCAGTAGGGGCACCGCTGGAGTTGCTTGATCTCCTCTCAGGATGGCTCAGTCATGAAGGTTTCTGGCAGCGAGGAAGCGCTGGGCCTGCGCTTGCGCTTGCAAGGCATTGGCACAGCTACCTGGCGGCTGGGAGGTGCTGGTAGCGTTTTGGATGATTTTGGATGATTTTGGCCCATTGATGTTTTGCTGGGGGGTATTTGCCTTCAAGGGTTGGCTCAAGATATTTCAAGATGCTCAAAATATATTCCCAACATTTGAATAAATTTGATGGTTTAATCGTAAACACAGTCACTGTGGAACCCTTGGTACCCCATTTTGGAGCACCACAATATTCACAATCAAAGGCCTCTCGATCTACTTGAGATTGATGAGTGCACTCGTCCAAAGATGCAATGACTAAGGTCAATTAAGGTCAACAGTTCCGCATGCGTGTCCAAGTTTGAGAACCATGACCGTCCATGACCATCCCATGTTATGAATATACTTAGGATAGTTTTGGATACTTGGTATATCCTAAGGATAGTTTTGGATACTTATGGACATATCATGACATATCCCATGTTATAAATGTACCCATCAAGGTTTCAGTTCTCCAAGACAGTGCACCGAGGTGTTGCTGCCCACCATCTTTGATCCCTCTGAGCTCCGCTCCGACTTCAACGGCAAAGTGATCCGTGCGCCGGTTGCAAAACGGGTTCCAGGGATGCGGCGGTGTTGCAACGCTGCAGTTTTGGGAGAAGGATGGAGAAGGATGGAGAAGGATGGAGAATGGTGATATTATGAATTGGGAGTTGGAATTCGAACGACCTGAAATTGAGTTTGCGATCACACATTGAAGAATCTCGAAGTAGATATTGGACGGAGATACTCGAGGAAAGCAGTCTCAATCTCTCAATGTCTTTGCTTTCTCCCTGTTTTGGACCCAGTTGGCAGGTCTGTCAGTGGTTTCCTTGGGTCTATAGTGGGCTCCATCAGAGCAAAACTTCAGGTCTACTGGTGATGATCATGGAGCCACTGACAGGGTTTACAGATGTTTACAGTATTATCAGGACCACGATGGTACATCCAATGATACCCATCATCTAGTGAATGTTCATCAAACCCACCCACATGGTAAGATCACTGTTTTTTGGTTCATGAGCATGTGATCACATTATTCAGGAGCAGTATTGACGTTTTGACCAACGACTTGGGAGGGACTGATGCGGAGTGTGTTCGGCTGTTACCTCCCTGAGGTTACCTGGTGCCTGAAGGAATCTTGGCGGCAATTTGATTTGCTCTTTATTTGTTGTGCATATATGGACAGCACCTGGACAGCTGGATTTTCCAGCACCCGGACCACCAAAATTGAGGTGGTTCTGTGCAGAAGGGCCAAGCCTATGTGGAACTGGAGGCCATGAAGATGGTCATGCCGTTGAAGGCCGGGGCCACCTGGGCAGGGTCGAGTCGGGTCAGGTGTAAAGGACGTTGATGGACGTTGTCGTGGCTGAACCAATTTCCATCAATTTCCATACGTAGATATAGATTACATAGATCTTGGCTTGATCAGTGACAAGTGATAAGTACTCGTAACATTTCCCCCTTGCTATCAATGTTTGGGAGTTTGGGAGCTAAGCAGCTATGGGTATCCATTTTGCCTGTTGAACGGAGAGCCAAGCTACTAAGAGTGTCTCCACCATGTTTGGCATTTGATTCGAGAGGGTATTTCTTAGATGATGTATGTTGCTGAGACATGTTCACACCTGATACAGCACATGGTGTTGGACTGGTTCCACCTCCTACACTGTCGATTGTGAGTTCCCCCCTTCGTAAAAATGAACCCATCCAACTGTATCAACTGTAGAGATATTCAGCATCAATCCATTCATTTGCCTGCAGTCATCTATAGTTATAAGCCAACATACCTATCTTGTAAATTGTGGCTGCCACCCTGTAGGGCCCCAGCAGCAAGGCCAGTGCAGCCGGGCTAGTGAAGCAGTTGAAGGGTCCTGGAAGCATCGTCGCAGCTGGGGAGCTCTTGGCCAGGCGAGGGCTGAGATGGGCAGCCGACATTTTGATTTTAGTTGGATGAGTATTCACCTATGTTCATCACGTTCTCCCTCTTTTTTTGACCATCAATCAAGCATATTATAGAAGTATCGGAACTTATATAGATTGATATAGATTGTTTATAACATGTTTTAACTTTTTATGAATCTATATGTGTTTCATGTTTTTCCATACCTTTCCTTTCAGCCCTTGACCCACAAGAGGCTCCAACTGGAAGATCCCAGCAGCGCGCCGCAGCTGGACCCCTTCGTCGGTACCTTCAGCCTGGCGACGGAAGCGCCCGGGCCCAGGACGGCGACGGCGGGGCCCGAGGCAACGGCGAAGGTCTGCCGCGCGCTGGAGGGCTATGCCATGCAGGGCACAAAGCAGCAGCTGGCGAAGGAGTTGTTGATGGAGGCGGAGATGAAGATGGTTGTTGAATGTTGTTGAGATATTTTATGTGTTCAGAGTACTTTTCAGTGTTGTTTATTTTCTATATCCAAATCTTTGGATATTTTGGGATGACAGATTATTCAATGAGTGATATGTGATAGGAAGACTTGTTTCAAAAGTTTGGGTTGCGAGGAAGCTGAGGAAGCATATTCGATAGGATGAGGACTGAATGTGTTGAGGAGTAGGAAGAAAGATTGCTCCTGCTAATCCCCAGAGGATATCCTCAATCTGACACAAGTTCCCAGCCAAAAAACCCGGCATGACTTGGTGACCAGGAAGAGACTGGAAGCAAGTTGGACCAGGCTTTGACTGCACTGGAAGCTTGGCCTGGAGGGGCAGGAACAACTTGAAAGTCAGTTGAAACATGTTTTGGGCAAAAGGTGCCAACAGGACTGAAATAATAAACACATATTGCACCACTCAGGGATTGGTCAATATAGATAAGACAAACGATTTCCAAAACGGTCTGAGGGGTCTTTCCCAGAATGGAACTGTGCATTGTGGCCTATTGTGGCCGAAGCTGTGCCTTATTGGCCGATCAGTTGGACCCATTCTATCATAGTATCAGCATGATGGAAACAATTTCAAGACTCCTGCAAAGCGTGCAAAGACTACGGGCAAACACCTCGATTTGCCCGCGCTTGTCGGCGGCCATCTTCGTATGTGCTGAAAACGTGGTAAAAATGTGTACTTTTTTTGCATCATGGCTAACTTAATGTTGTATATCGGCACGCACAGCATAGGGACCTGTGCGAGTCTCTTACACATCATCATCATCATCATCATCATCATCAGACCCTTATTGAAGATCTTCAATGAATGTAGAAGTTTAACGGGGGTGGGAGAATTAAACCCTTATTTAAGATCTTCAATGAATGCAGAAGTTTAACGGGGGTGGGAGAATTAAACCCTTTTTGAAGATCTTCAATGAATGTAGAAGTTCAATGGGGGTGGGAGAATTAAACCCTTATTGAAGATCTTCAATGAATGCAGAAGTTTAACGGGGGTGGGAGAATTAAACCCATATTGAAGATCTTCAATGAATGCAGAAGTTTAACGGGGGTGGGAGAATTAAACCCTTATTGAAGATCTTCAATGAATGTAGAAGTCTAACGGGGGTGGGAGAATTAAACCCTTATTGAAGATATTCAATGAATGTAGAAGTTTAACGGGGGTGGGAAATTTATATTCCCTAAATACCCTTGTTGATCTTCCCAACTGAATGTAAAGTCCAACGTTTGATATCCCCAAGTGTGCAGCATAGAAGGGGTGTGGGCGAATCGGGGTGTTTGCGCGTAAGACTACCAAGCAGTTCAACTTCCCGCCCAAACTCGGTCACGTGACCTCGGTTAAGCTGTTCCATGGCTCCAGAGCTGCCCAGTAACTGGGGTCCCCTGAAAGAGGGCCTCCCCAGGAGCATTACCTCAGCGTGGAGCGAAAATTTTCCGACTCGTACGCGCAAGGTGGAGGGAAATTGGTGGCCGGGGTTGAAGTCACAGAAAACATCAGAAAACAATGTGGGTATTGCATGGTATGGCCGCCAGTATGCCCATGTTTTCCCATGTTTTCCCCTGTTTTCCCCTATGAATAAAGACGCCACAGTAGAACCTGTGGTTTAGTACTGGATATTGCGGGATGGGATGATTTGCACATGTTGACTCCACCACTGATGAATTGGACCAAGAAAGGACATATCAACCAACCGGGTTGGTGATTTCTACGTGTAGTGCTTGACACTCAAGAAATTCATCCTGTTTTCTTTCCTTCACAGACGCTACTTGTAACATCTTTCAAGCATGAAACAGATTCATTTTGATGGGTACTTTTCATATAAGGATCTCTATGAGGATGGTATGATGTGATATCTCCTTGGCAGTTTATTTTATTACATCAATATGGCGCATGTCAAGCTGCTGGGCGCTTGGCGCCCAAATCAACACGTGAAGTCTTTAGTGTTCAATGGTTATATGATTTTGACCGGGATAGAACATCATGACCCAAACTGAAAGGAACATTTGACTGTTGTGTTCATCACATTGTTCTTCAAGCCCCCTCACTGCAGACCCTTACGTTGTAGCCCTTAGCTTGGGAAACCGATAGTCAGATAGGCAGAGCATCTCAGTTTTGTAAGATCAGGTTGCAGCATGGATTTGGTGGTGGCCAAATTGTTGGATGCTGAGTCGTCGCCGGAGGTGCAGACGTTCGCAGGGAGGGAGAGGGTTTGCTTGACCGATATCAATAGAACAGGCTGGTAAAACCTTGAGGTAAGATTTGCCCTAGTCACTAGTCAAGCAAACCTGCTGCTAGAGGTTAATTTTGTGAGTCTGAGAGATGTTTGGATCTTGCCCTAATCCAGCGGGAAAGGTTTTTTCATATTGGCAATTCAAGGCTATGCTGAATGATTCCTGCAATTTTTCAGATCCCCCCAAAGGTCGGAGACACACACGCTCACTCACAGATCTAACATGATCTAATCCCAAATTTCATGCATTTCCTGTGGTTTATCATCAATTTCTCAACATATATCTATATGTATATTATTGTATATATATATATTATATTGTATATATATATTATTGTATATATGTATTATTATTTTTTATATAATTATAGTATATTATATGTTTTTTTTAATATTATATTATATTATATTATGATATTATATTATATTATATTATATTATTTTATATTATATTATATTATAATTTATTATATTATATTATATTGTTTATATTGTATATTATATTGTTATATTGTGTATTATTTTGTATATTATATTGTATATTATATTTATACATATATATTCTATATATTATATATATATATTATAATATTATATTATTATATATATATATATATTATATTATATTATATATATCCTAATATATAATTTATTATTTATATGTATTTTAATAATATATCATATATATATATATGACCCCAAATTTTATGAAAATCCTCGGGTGAAACCAAAAACAACATGTTCCCCATGAACACAGCTGCGACAGGAGGCCGCCCGCGACCTCTCAGCCAATGGAGCACCCGGTCGTGCTGAACTGGTCGGTGACTGGGATGACATCCTACTGCACTTAGATATTTGACCTGATGAAATCTGATGAATGTATGGTTTACTCTATAATGTTTGGTATTGCTTTTGAGTAATTTATGGCTTACTAATGTATAGAATTGGTATACATCAACCGTAAATCTTTACTCAGTAGATGGTTGATTATTGGATTTACCATATGACTATTTCTTGTGGTCAGATTTTTTGAATTTTAAATACCTTAAATATCCTTAAATTGCAAATTTGGCTAAGCTGGGTATGATGTACTATTGGGTTTGTGAGCATTGGGCTCATAGCTTCGGGGACTCACCTACTAAGCAGCTACCCCTTGGTAATCTGGGTGGAATCCCGCATGCATAGACGATTCAAAGATGGGGATTTCTCCTAGTTTACGCTGGCGACGCTGATAACGACCTGGACGAAAGACGTTTTTTGTGATATTCTTGGGCACAGCATTTTTTTGTTGGCTCAATTATAACCATTCCACAAATTATGTTGCTTTAGGCATGTATGAGGTGGGGTGGGGTGTGCTAAAAACGTTCATTCGCCTGCAATGATCTATATGCGTACTTGCTTTTGGATCTTCCAACACGCTCTTGATGCTTCGCTCTGAACTTGCTATTGGGCTGGCCCAGGATTGTTTTTAATGTTTGAGATTTGTTTGGTTTTTTTTCTGGGTTAGCCCAGAAATTTTGAGAATCTTTGAGATCTTTTGGGAATCCTTTTAGACAACAATGAAACATGTTGAGAAAAAATGGAACATTTTGAGAAAAACCCGGCTATTTTTGAGAAAAATCGTTCATTTATTTGTGCATCCTTCCTTTTACTTTAGTATTCGCCCTTTCCTTTGCCACTTGGACCTTTCGAGAAAAAAATGGAACATTTTGAGAAACATCCGAAAAAAAAAATGAGAACAATCTGGGTACTTTTGAGAAAAATCCGGGCATTTTTGAGAAAAATCCGGGTACTTTTGAGAAACATATGGGTCCAACCAGAACTCTGGGAGAGCCCTTTGTGAAAAACCCTACAGATCTAGTTCCCCTTTTTGCGCGCCTCAGCAAGTGTGAAAACTTTTGAGAAATGTCTGAATCAATTTTGGATGGGATTTTACTTACACACACACAAAAGTGTCACTGGCCAGCAAAACATCAACATTCAAATCAAGTACCAAGTGATAGTCTCCCAAGTGCCAGTGGTGATGTCACAAGTGGCACACAGAAAATGTTGAAGAAGGGGATTTGCAAGAGGCACTTGGTCAAGTGGCAGGTGGCAAGTGGTTCCTTCAAGGAAGTTTACCTATCCCAAATTGTCTCAAATGTTTCAAAAAAATCAGGAAACATCTTCTTTCTGACTTTTGGGGAATGCTAAAATCCCTACTGATCTAAAACCACACTGATCTAGGGCTGGTCTTCGCCATCCTGATATTTCAATTGACAATGATGCGCGATGGTACTCGTCTACAACTCATACGCAATTAGCAATATTAGACATTTATAGATTGGAGATGTTGTGATGAAACAATTTATGTAATTGTATATCCAATATTATTCAGTCACTAGTCACTTTGACTATTTCACAACATTCAGCTTCCAGACATAGACAAATTCACTTACAGGAAGCTTTTGTCTCTTGTCTTCATACTTTGTATGTAGTCATGAATCAAATTATAATGGAATTGTGCATCAGCTAGTATATTTTTCAAGTACAGCTGGCTGGACTGCAGTTGTGTATCCAACCAATTCAACAGCGTGCCTCAGACCAATGATGCGCAGATCTAGTGCACAGCACGGCAAGCTTCGAAAGTCGTGGCCGCTTCTGTGGCATCCAGGGATTTCTTCGCCTGCTGCACATGGTATGTCCAACTTGACACATGTCTCCAGACCTTTTTCCTGTGCAGCAGGCCTGGGTGCTGGAGGAAAAGATGCCATAGGCCTGGTTCTCAGTGTCCACTTGAGAGCATTTTTTTGCAGTATACTTCACTATCAACAAGCATCATTAGGAATTTATTATCATTGAGGTGGTTTGCATTTTTTTAGACACAATCACATCTATCAGTGAGACACATCTTGTACAAATATACAAAAAATAATTAAATATATATATATATATATATCAGTGTGTCAGTACTTCTGCGTTTCCCATTTTTGCAAGGAATTGATACCTACTGATACCCTAGCTTACATTTTTTATAGTTTCACTTCAGGATTCTAAAGCGCAAATATAATTTATATATATATATATATCACTGGTATCAAAAAAAGGTGTAAATGCACTCGTCTTCATAAACTGGTCGTCCTGGACAACCATATCAGGGAAATTTGATTATAGATCCAGACATGTATGACTGTATGACTGTACATACTTGTCATTGATACTGTGTATACTGTGTGCTGCATAGTCAAACACAACTTTGATCGAAGGAAGTTTAGAAGTCAAACTTCCGACAATATGGAAAGATGAAAAGCAGAGCAGGGCAGAGGCAGAGAGAAGAGAAAGATTAGAAGAGAGAAGAGTAGAAGAGAAAGAGAAGAAAGAAGATGCAGATGCGCGAAAAGGTAGGAAAGTCGCGAAACACTGTGTTTTTCCAATGATTTGTGGCTCCGGAGGGTCGAAAAGTAGGCTCGCTAAAGCGGCGGGCATGATTCCCAAAACGGGCACATGGCCTGCGCGAGAAGCAAATTTCAAAGACAACATCATCTGTTAAAATGAAAAATGTGATTTTACTAGAGGTTCGGGCCACTTTTGTTGCTTGTCATTTCATCATCAAAATTTGTACGCCACCTAGGCGCGAAGTGCATTTGGAAGTCAAAAGTGTCAAAAACTGATGGCTTTGGCATATTTTTTGGACATTAAAAGGTGGTTTGCTGGTTGAACTGGAGCACGCTGCTCAGGAAGCGAAGCAGGTTTGGACGTCAAAAGTTTAAAAACTGGTATCAAGATAGACCTGGACAGATAGACAGACAGACAGACAGACAGACAGAGAGAGAGAGAGAGAGAGATAGATTCATAGATAGGTAGATAGATAGATAGATAGAGCGATTGATACCCATGCCCTGACATGTTTTGGCTCAAGACCAATCACTTGCAGTAAAAGGGGTGCGTATGCCGCTGGTGCATTTGCTGCCTTATCTATAGCACTGACGTTATAGGCAATCATTGAACATTACAACAGAAGCTGGTACCTAGCCAGACAGACAGCTAGATAGGTAGATAGATAGATAGATAGGGAGATAAATAGACACACAGACAAATAGATAGGTAGACAGATAGATCAGTAGGTAGGTAGGTAGGTAGATAGTCAGAGAAATATAGAGAAACAGATAGAAAAAGAGAGAAAAAGAGAGAAAAAGAGAGAAAAAGAGAGAAAAAGAGAGAAAGAGAGAGAAAGAGAGGAGACCTCAAGCACCTTTCGGTCCATCAGTAGCTTCGCTCTGCCATCCCTGATTCACAACAACCAACGTCTCATAGGTTCTCTATTTTTGAAACTTCCGCCACCGCCTTGTGCGGTACTACTGGTATACATTTGTCTTTATGACATGTACTGTATGATTGGTTGCGTTCTTTGGGTGACAAGTGGGGCAGCCAGCGTTTGACATAACAAGTCTGATGATGAGACATAATGTCCAATGATGCCTTACGCTGTGTCACTTCTTGCAGCCAGTATGTATGAGATACTGTATGCTATCGCATTTGGCCAGCCTTGTGTTTTCAAACGTCATTCATCCCGTTTGACTGTCAGCTTCAACCCCTGCAGAACCAGGAAATGCATGGTAGATCCATCACCCATCATTTCACTGCCTTGCAGTGTGTGTAAGAAAACCACTTGCAAATGGAGGTTTAATTGAAATTGAGGCAAAGAAACTGGCTGGCTTTCCAGAGCCAAATCAGGCCCAGAAAAAGAAGAGTGAGCCACTTCTGCACCTAAATGGTCTCAAATATATCTCAAATGTACCCCAAATGGACCTCAAATGTACCCCATCAAATTTCAAAGGGAGCAGGAGGTTCGATTCACCAGTATGAAAGCAATTTATGTTTCGGTTTGTTGGGTTTGAGGGATTTCATCTAAGCGTTTGCCAGCATTCAGAGGCCTGTACGCCATAGTACTGGCGGTGTCGCAGATGCGGCATGGAATGGATACGCTGGGGGCAAGTGCCCAAAGGCAGCATATGCTGCAATGAACAGGTCCAGTGGCCGCGTTGTTTGGTATTGGGTCGGGTTTTGGATCGGCCAAGTTGAGAGTGTGTGTGTGTGTGCGTGTGTATCAGTACTTCTGGGTTGCCAATTCTTTGCAAGGAATTGATACCCATTCATACCCTAGGCCCTAGCCTACATGTTTTTAATGATTTCACTTCAGGATTCTAAAGTGCAAGTATAATTTATGCATGCATACATACATATATATATATATATCACTGGTATCAGAAAAGGTGTAGATGCACTCGTCTTCATAAACTGGTCGTCCTGGACAACCATATCAGGGAAATTTGATTATAGATCCAGACATGTATGACTGTATGACTGTACATACTTGTCATTGATACTGTGTATACTGTGTGCTGCATAGTCAAACACAATTTTGATATACATTTGTCTTTATGACATGTACTGTATGATTGGTTGCGTTCTTTGGGTGACAAGTGGGGCAGCCAGCGTTTGACATGACAAGTCTGATGATGAGACATAATGTTCACTGATGCCTTACGCTGTGTCACTTCTTGCAGTCAGTATGTATGAGATACTGTATGTTATCGCATTTGGCCAGCCTTGTGTTTTCAAACGTCATTCACCCCGTTTGACTGTCAGCTTCAACCCCTGCAGAACCAGGAAATGCATGGTAGATCCATCATCCATCATTTCACTGCCTTGCAGTGTATATAAGAAAACTACTTGCAAATGGAGGTTTAATTGAAACTGAGGCAAAGAAACTGGCTTTGCTTTCCAGAGCCAAATCAGGCCCAAAAAAAGAAGAGTGAGCCACTTCTGCACCTAAATGGTCTCAAATATATCTCAAATGTACCTAAAAATGGATTTTGCCTCAAACATGTCATATCCTACAGTACTATACTATACACTATATTGTACTCTTTACAGAATATATCAATATACCGTACCATCGTCTGTTGCAAGGGTTTAAACTGTTTGGAACTGAATAAACAAAAAACATTCCCTTGCCCAAGGTTACATTGCTTTTAAGGATGTCACTATACTGCCACACTACCTCTAATTAGTAGACTACAGGCAGCATAATTTCTTTCTATACATTGAACCGTTTGTAGGTATTGCCATGGCAGTACAATCAAGTGTTTTATCGCAGCATGTTTTAAAAGATCCCTCGACAAGTGACAAGCAAAGCAATAATAGTACAAAAAAACTAATGATGCTTTCACAACCAACTTTGATAGTGGAGTATGTTGGAATGCCACATGGCAACACAATTCAACTTACTGTATATGCCCCAGCTTTTGTGAATGATTTCTAATTAACGAAGGAAGTTTAGAAGTCAAACTTCCAACAATATGGACAGATGAAAAGCAGAGATGGGAAGAGTCAGAGAAGAAAAGAGAAGAGAAGAAGAAAGAAGATCAAAAAGAGAAAGAGTGAGAAGAAAGAAGATCCATGTGCGCGAAAAGGTTGGAAAGTCGCCAAACACTGTGTTTTTCCAATGGTTGGTGGCGCCGGAAATTCGAAAAGTAGGCTCGCTAAAGCGGCGGGTGAGGAGCCAGGTGAGAGATGAAAAATTGCACGCCGTTGTGGCTAGAAGCACATTTCCAAGTCAAAAGACTTAAAAACTGACGAAGAACACTTTTGGAAGTTGCGATGTCGAAAAAGTGCACGCCGTTGTGGTGCGAAGCACCTGTCAAAGTCAAAATGTACAACGCACACCAGCCTCGGAGCACTTTTGGAAGTTGAGATGTCGAAAAAGTGCACGCCGTTTTGGCGCGAAGCACATTTCGAAGTCAAAATGTACAAAACACACCATGCCCGGACCACTTTTGGAAGTTGAGATGTCGAAAAAGTGCACGCCGTTGTGGCGCGAAGCACATTTCCAAGTCAAAAGTGTAAAAAACTGACAGGTTCGGTGCGCTTTTGGACGTTCAGATGTCGTTTCGCGTGGCAGGTGCACGGAATTGTGCACCTTGTCGAAAGTGAGCAAAACGTGAGGGTTTTGTGGCATGTCCAAAAACGATGGCGAGCGTGGGACATTTGAAGAGGATCTGCAAAGATGAATTTTCCGTGGCAGGCGCAGTACAAGAGACATGTTCATCAGAGCTTTTAGGAGGTCCGGGCGCTGATTTCCCGAGAGGGGTTGCATTTTGGAGCATCAGATCACTAGGTTTGCTAAGATGATTTTGCCTGACAGGTGCAGCACTTCGTATGACCTGGCATCAATTTTACGTGGCAGGCGCAATACTTGTACTATAGACAGGTGGAGTGGAAAAATCGCAAAACGCATTGGTACGAGGCCGTCAGCTCTGCACTCAACTTTCCATTTTTGAAGGAGGTCTCTTAGAATTGCTTTGTTTTTGATGTTGTCAAGTTCAAAAATTGAGGAAGTCTCGCAGAATTGTTTTTTTTTGGATGTTGTCAAGTTCAAAAATTGAGGAAGGCTCGCAGAATTGCTTCGTTTTGGATGCTGTCAAGTTCAAAAATTGAGGAAGTGTCGCAAAATAGCTGCGATTTCAAGCTTGCAGATAGACAAACAGATAGATAAGATAGAAAGATTAGATTAGGTTAGGTTAGGTTAGGTTAGGTTAGATAGATAGATAGCTAGATAGATAGATAGATAGATAAGATAGATAAGATAGATAAGATAGATAAGATAGATGAGATAGATAAGATCGATAAGATCGATAAGATAGATAAGATAGATAAGATAGATAAGATGGATAAGATAGATAAGATAGATAAGATCGATTAGATAGATTAGATCGATTAGATCGATTAGATCGATTAGATCGATAGATCGATTAGATCGATATAGATCGATATAGATCGATATAGATCGATATAGATCGATATATAGATCGATATAGATCGATATAGATCGATATAGATCGATATAGATCGATATATAGATCGATATAGATCGATATAGATCGATATAGATCGATATAGATCGATATATAGATCGATATAGATCGATATAGATCGATATAGATCGATATAGATCGATATATAGATCGATATAGATCGATATAGATCGATATAGATCGATATAGATCGATAGATCGATAGATCGATATAGATCGATAGATCGATAGATCGGTAGATCGGTAGATAGATCGATGGTCATCCAGGTGAGATCTTGCAGGGCTTGGAGGCCTTGCAACCGCAGCAGAAGGAGGTGGGAACCTGCCGCGAGATGAAGAAACGTGTTTTTTGCCAGAGAAAACTATAGAAGTTGGTAGAATCATGTAAAATCCTACTAGATTCCTAGATGTCGTGGTATGAATTAGACATGTTCTTCCTTTTTTCGAACGTTTACTGTAATTCGAAACCACTAGGATGTGAATTTAGCCAGCAAACAGGAGGAGTTAACAGAACATGTAGATTTGGACCAAGGATTATCTGGGATTGAGGCGGTGACAATGGCATTTTGACTTACAAAAACGGATATATTTAGGACACAGGGGACCACAATTATTTGTTTGGCCCCTATTGACACTCCATGTTGGTTGGTGATTTGCCTCTTGGAGACGTTGCCTTGGAAAAATGACGAATTCCAAATCAGATGGGATTCCAAAGCCATGTGCGAACTTGATCCTCAAGCAGGATGCCCAACTGACCAGGATGCATTTGTTTCCCAATCCGCAGGTGGTAGCAGAGGGCAAACTGCCTCGTGCCACCTCACAGAAGCTGTGGCAATCTGTGCGTGAGCAGGGCAACTGGTATCTCGGTTGAGATGTTTTTTTTGCAGGAACATCCAAGTGATCTATTGGGTTTCGCAACATGTGGTACCATTTTGATTGGTTTAACTCATGTATTTTTTGGACCTCCGAGATGGTAGCTGGATGTCCATCGGATGTGAAGGTGGTAAAGGGAAGCTCGTGGGAATTGCGGTCCGATCAGTAAAGAACCGCAAGAGGATTTGAGGGTCATGAAACGCGATGTATCAGGATTTGTTTATTTGCTGAGCGATTCATATTCACTGGAAGATATATAATCGCTTAACAAAGCTTGTTGTACCAGGATTTGTTTAATTATTGGTATTCGAAAGGTCAGAGATGCTCATCAAAAGGTTTATATTCCCCTGTCAGGTGGTTTCTAGATTCTAGCCTATATGATTGTTTATATGCCACATCCAATGATGAAAACGTCGAATGTGTTGGTGGTATTTATGTGTATACTCATCATATGTTGATGCCATTTGATTGCAACCCACAAAAAAAACACCAACATTTGATACACATATACATCACACATCATTACATATACATAATATATCTGGATCTTCCAGGTATGCGTTTTGTTTTTTTTTACTATTTTTCCTAAAAGGCAGAAAATTCAGCTCATTTTTTTCAGAATCGCCTTTTGTCTTCAGAATCGCCTGTCGGAAAATCATGAAACCGAAACTGCCCGAACCAAATTACTCCACTAGACATGCTTTGATTTACCCAAATTACCTAAATACATTTTCATATATGTCTTGGTTTGCCCAAACTATCCCACCACATTTCTTGGTTTAAGTAGTTTAAGTTTTGCCAATAATTATCCCAACAAGTTTCTTTGCTTGTACAAACTATCCCAATGCATTTCTTTGTTTAGCCAAGCTATCCCAGTAGAGTTTTTGTTTCACCCAAACTATTTCATGTGCCTATCCTCAGCTGTCACACACCGGCTTGTTGCAATTGCAAGAGTTTGCTCTGGCATAAACATGTTTGAACTTGGCCTTGGATGGGCTTCAACTGGAACATGCTCCGGCCCCAATGGGAAATAATGCATAAACAACGTTGGTCGCGTAAAGTTGCCTTTAAATTGCGAAAAGTCGCCGCTGGGTCAGGAAAAGTCGCCCGCTCCGTTTTTTCTTTTGATGGTTACAAACTTCCAGGCAGCAAAACCCAATTCACAGGCATTCCGCATTCTTGCGCGAGAGATCGAAATGACCATGCCTGGGCGTAATGCCCTGCATTGGCCACAGCCCAAAATCAACGATATGGGAAACTAAGGATATATAATATATATATATATATTTTTTTTTCCAGGCAAGAAAGTGTGGGCTGTGCTACTGCCCTGTTTTGTTGTCAAACGGTTGCTTTGCAGTTTGGCGAAGTTGTTCAAACAAGTAAACCCAGTTTCACCCATAGATCTGAGGGAATTTGGTGAAAAGATTGCCTTATCTTTATTCTTTGGATTGGCATATTTAGTTTAGAAAACATTGAGATACATGGAGAGATTTCTGCCACCATCAAAAAGGTGGCCCTAATTGCTTGAAATCGCAAAAGTCGCCCGTGGTCGGGTAAAGTCGCCTTTTAACTTTTAACCACAAAAGGCAGAACACCCTCAAAAGGCAGAAATTATGCACACTGGGGAAAATGTAGGTATTTACATTGTATGTATATATTTATATATATATATATACATACATACATACACACACATACTCTATTACAAATTTATATACATATACATCATATACTATATACATCTGTCGCAGGACTCGCCTTGCAGATCTGCTGACTGAGCTGGCGGAGCTGCCGGCAGTGGCCAGCTACGCGCCCGTGCGCCTGGCGGCCAGGCGAGCCCGGCAGTTGGTGTGGGGAAACTAGGGGAAAAGTTTTGGAAGATGTTGGGGAACACTAGAAAAACATAGAAAAACCATGACACTTCATTGAAAAATCCTTGGAGAGATTGAAGACAGCTGATACAACAAAGGAAGAACATAGATTGGGGAGGTTTCGGCACTTGGAAATTATTCGAAATAGTTGCAAGCCATGGCGTTGACAATACAAATAATGTGGAGAACGCATGCAAACGCAAAACCACAAACCAGTCGTACCATTTGTTTGCAAACAGTATTGTTTTACACAAGCAGAGTTGATTAATCAATGACGTTTCAGAATTATTGGAAATAACCTCATCAGTACGGAGAACAACAGGGAAAACGCGAAGAGCCCTTTCAAATGTTAGGTTGGGAAATGTCCGAGAAGCTTGAACAACTGGCGATGTATTAGTCAAAGAATCTTATAGAACACTCATCTTACGAGTTCCAAGTGGAGGCGAGTGGAGTGTGACATTGCCAACAGTGTAATCTAGAGTGTTATGTATAGTGCAATGTAGTTTAATGTGCAAGCTGGGTCGCAACAGCAACCTTTCAATTGAAAGATACTGAACCTGGATAGTGAAACTTCTGGGACCGTGGCTGGCAGCTGAAAGCCGACACATTGGAAAGACACATTGGAAACTTCCAAAATCCACCCAACCCCCAAAAAGAAAGCCCTTCCAAATCTACATAAAAACTAATATGTGTTTCAACTTGGAGTCCTAAATCTATGGGAGACACCCATGTCGTATGACTTTCCAATTTCACCATGGCTTGCGCATTCCAAGCCGCACCGCGCTTCCCCGGTTTCCACGAGGCGTTTGTGCCAGACCGTCTCCGGGGAGTCGTGGATGGAGCGCTTCCAGACGCTGCAAGCGGCCTTGAAATCCGGCGAGCAGAAGGTCTTGACTTGGCCACCACATGAAGCTGGAGACTCTCCAGGATGATCCAGTCTTGGGGATTTTTTTTCCTAGCGTAGAATCTATAACATTTTGTGCAATATAAACAATATATATATATATAGTATATATACGTGTATAATATATATATAAATGATGTAGAAAGATGTTATATACCCTGCAGCAAGTTGGGTAGGCCAACATGGAAAACGGTGACCCTTTCAAATGATCCATAAATGGCAGTTTTACCGATGTATTTCCATAAATCTATGTGAAAATACGCTAGTGTATAGTATAGACTGAATATTATGTATATATATATATAATCATTTGTTGGTGTATTGAACATCATCCTCGGGTACTTGAACAACGGTTAAGGTGATTTCCAAGAACATGTTCGGGAGCGACCTTGTATTTTCCGGCGAGACAAGCATAGTTGGAATTGTATGTAATTTTCTGGCTTCATTTGAAAATGTAATCCGTGGGAAAGAGAGCCAAGTTATTACATATTGTTCGTGCCATAGTTTTGAGTCGTGCGCAAACTTTGCTGCAGCCGTGCCTTATGGCCGAACTGGAACTGTTCTCTGGAAGTTGCAAGTGCTATGACCACAATATATTCACTTTTATTGTTCATGTTTCAAGAATGATGAATCGGCTTCAAATAAAACAATGGAGGTTTAGATTGGCGTTAATTCCTGACCCATTGAGTTTAGTCTCAAGCAAACATGTAAACAGATTGATGTCAGGAGTTTTTCCCCATTTGATCCAGAAAACCCTGCAGCGTAACCCCAAGGATGCAACCTCCTGGCCCACGCGTACCCTGGCAGCGATTGGATCACGACAATGGTCATTTCATGTCATATTCCTGACCCGCCATTCTTTATTTTTTTTTCAGGAGGGTACCCAGTTGATTTCCGATAACCCATCGAATTCATGGTCTGTTTTTAGTTCGGATAAAGATCTCCATTTCCGTGAAGCATCACCTCAGGCTTTCCGAGAAGGAAGTGCAGGTGAAGGCTTTAGAGGCTGGGGGCTCGGTGCTCATCAGGTACGTGTTGGAATTTCAGGGTATGCAACATCTCTCTATATCTTTGGATATTTTTGGATTATGGACTTAGAAACTGATTAAATCATGTGCGGGTCAAATATCAGATCTGCCTGTGTTGCTTTGCTGATGCTGCTCAGGTGCTGATTCGGCGCAGCTACCGTGCCTTCGGCGTCTCCAAAGATTCGACCATCCGCATTGAAAGGAAGGAGGACAGGATGGGGAGATGGTGCGATTGTGGGATTCAGGATCCAGGGGGCATTAGTTTCACATCGATGTTTGCAACTTGTCAACAGGGTTGATGCGTTTCAATCTTGGAGGAGAAACAAGTGCTGCATGTTTGCAGTATTTTGAGCTTCAGAGTTGACATGCATTTGTGATCAACAATTCTGTGAAAGGTAGCATTATTGAATCAATATTATGATCTACTGCAAGACCCTGGCTAATATCGCCCGGTGTGGGAAAGTATCAGGTTTCCAAATTCAACCTTTAGCTATCATTTGAGAAGTGACCGAACCCCCTGTTGATTGTTTATTATGGTGGTTTATAGTTACTACCTGGTTAATTAGGGATGATTCTAGCCAGTACTATGGACCACCAACCAGTATGAGGGGATGAGAAGGGTTCTGAACACTGCCCATTTTGCATCCAACTTCAAGACACTTTCGGCAACTTGAAGGGGGTGATCAGGCTGAACTATGGTGAAAAGCAGCTTCTGCAAGTGCTGGATAACCTAGATTTGTTGACTTATTGGAGCAGTGACTAAAAGTCCGGCACATGTTTGTTTATTGGACTTCTAGATTGTCTGGTTTTGAATGGCATCATCATCATGGCTAAGGGTTCCAAGAACACAATTACTATAACCAATCAGTATCTGCAGAACTTCCGTTGTTGATTGTTTTCATATGTTTTTGAAAATCACAATTTATCATCACACTGTCAACAATGTACTAAAAGAACTACTAGTAAATAGTGATTACACTTTACTATATAGTAACACCCAAACATAATCAAAAAGATACAAGCAGGCAAGTAACAGTAGTATGCTATAATATCTAAGTTTCCTTTTTTGTTTTGAGGGGTGTTCAACAACTTTGCCGGTTTACCAATGGTTGTTGCAGCACAGCCAGGAAAGCCTCGAGGCCAAGTGGAAATTCCGACATCCAGGCGAGGTCAAGTCTTCCTCAAGATCTTGATGGTTGAATATGTTTGACTCCAACCTGGCATGTTTGACTGGAAATTCCCCAACCTGGCATGTTTGACAGTTTGACACCGATTCTTTTTCTCCTTTCCCAACAATCATGGTGATTTCCCGGCCAGCCAGGTTGCTGGTGAGTATACCTCAGCTAATCCCTTACTCCTGATATCAAATGATGTCAAATGCCCCTAGAACTCCTGGTTTATCATCGCATCTAATCATTGTTTGGGGCCCATTTATACTTCCACAAGGGTCTTAAATATTCCAGTGATGGGAGTATACCAAATATACCAATGTTTCCCGCGTAAATCCCAAGTCTTGCGCTCAATATAGCTCATTTTGTCCATGACATCCTCATGAATTCCCATATTGCGGGGTATAACAACTAAGCATCAAACCTCGCCGAATTTGCGGCAGGTGTCCCATGCGATGCCAAAGCCATGACCGTGTGGCAGGGTATAGCCAAGGCTTCTCAGAGCAGACAGGAAATGGGGGCTGAAGACTGGCTGAAGACTAACATGTTGGAGCCAGAAAAACAACTGGAAAATCCACAGGAGAAACCTTCATTTCAAGGTTCCAAAGTTCAACACTCATTTTCTGAGGTGTTTTTTGGTAGTTCATTCAAAGCATTTCAGCGCCTCACTTGAATGTGATGACCACTATTTCAGCAGCATTTCTTGGACTTGCACTTTACCATGACCTCACTGAAAAGCTTGAGCAGTCCAAGGTCTTTCCGAACTATGTGCCCTGGCGGAGAGGATTTGTCGACTCAGAGAGTTTGATTATCATGTGGCCGTATTGATTCGTATTGAAGAAATGCTGTGTTGGGTGGTATACCATGGTATACCATGGTCCATGGTATACCGTTATCTCATTCAGGTACGGTTTGTTGACCTTATGGATTCTGTGCAATATAAATATCAAAAGCGGCCAGCGGCACAGATTCTGCACGGATCCCAGGAATCCCTGAAGCAGTACCTGGCTTCGGAGTTGCAGATCGGCGATCGGGGTGAAGGCGGCGAGAAAATGCTGGTCCGGGGTTCTCAGCCCAACAAAAATGGAAATTTGTGACCAATGAAACTCCATGAAATTTGGGTGCCAAAGATTACAAGCTTCTTTGAACCAGATGTTTGTGGTGATTTGAGATTTACATGGGGATAGGACTTGGGCCTGGCAAATAAGTTGACTGAAGTGGGTGCCCTGTGGGAATCGCGTGCTGGCGATGGCGAAATCCTTCGAACCTGGTCCATGTGACACCATTGCTGGCATCCACTGGTTACCAAGATATCAAACATGCAATTCGCTATGGGCAAATGAACTCAAAGAGGGACTATATAATTAGAATAGACTATAATGCTCATGCACACACGTATGTACGTATGTGTAATGTGTGTATGTGTGATATGTTTATATTGTAATATTTTTGACATACACAAAGCTCAACGCCAAAAGGCAGTCATTCCTCGGTTGGACCTCTTTTGCGCTGCATCAAATCCTCATTTGTGCAGGTCATTGGGGCCCCATGTGCATATACATTCCTGACATTCATTGCGTTGCAGTACGAACAAAAACATTGCATCATATTCCACCGCGTTACATACATTACCATGGATCAAACTACATGACATGAGCCATGGTCAAGACAATTTGAACTCTTCATGGCTCATTTGTGCCCGCCATCCGTGCCTGGGGCAAGTGAGTGTAGTTAACTCTACATGCTGCGCGTCAAGACATTATTTATTTTCCCGTACAAAGGGATGGTCAACTTCTCCATTTATAGGGGTAGTATATATTTAATGTACCCATTACATCCCAGTACAATAATTCCATATTAGCAATAACATCACGGCACACATGGACATTAATGGATAACAAGGCCTACAACAATCAATAGTATTAAACACATAAAATCATGAAATCTCATTGCTGAATTTGACTACATCCTCGCATTGATGCAGGTGAAGGTTTGAAAGCGGGGCGCTTGCACTTGGTGCTTCTGGGGGAGGAGGCTCGAAACCGGCCAGCTGGGCACAAATGGGTTGGGATACCCCGACCATGGCATGACTCGCTGCGCAATTAGGGTTTCCTCTTTGTCTGAAAGAGTGGGAGGGAGCCCACAGATCAATTGAAAACACTAATGCTGAGCTGCTGAACCATGGGATTTTGGTGTTGCAAATTTTGAGACAATAGACTTGGGTTTACCGATTGACCAATTTGATTAGGGAAATTTGCAGGAAACCGTGTTCCCATTTGTCCTCAAACGAGTCTATACAATGAGTTGACGAAGGTGTTAAAGGAGACCGCTCTATGCGAAGCGGACCATTTCCATGTACTGGATTGACTTAGGTGGAAGAATTTATCCATTGAAACATGTTGAAACATGAAACGCCAAGGCAGGGCCTCAGGGGATCTCAGGGCTCAGTCCCAGGCAATGACCAGCGCAGGGAGCGAGGAACGGTTTCATCAGTTCCTGAGCCGATGGCCATAGATTCCATAGATGGCCTGGATGGGTGTGGATCAAAATTGGGATACCCAAAAAGGGGATCTTTGATGATGTACCCTCTGGTTATTTAACATAACCATGGAAAATCCCTTATCAATGGAGGTTTTAATGGGAACATCATCTATAAATGGGCCATTTTCAATAGCTATGTTAAATTACCAGAGGGTATGTTTTTATTTTTTGAAAAAGTGTTCCCCAAACAGCATGGCCTTACGAAAAGCATCCAAAAGCAGCTGAGCCTTACTCAATAATTAGGGCTTCTCACATCAATGGATATCAATGGCAAAGTCTGTGAACTTCATGTGACGACTCGGAAATGGGACGGTCAATGAGTTCATGTGTTGACCATTGACCTGCGAAATGCTTCTGAAATGTTTGACTGTGTTTGACCCAAATTCACAGGCGAGGGGTCATAACCATAATTGCTTAGTTCTCCTAATTATCCGCTTGGTTGGTGGTTTTAGGAATGTTCTATGTTCAACCCTGTTTTAAAAGGATTATCCCGACTGACAAGCATAGCTTCAGGGGTCTGATATCACATGATAGCATCAGCCAGACACATGATATATAATAGCATACATAATATTATACGTATATTATATACATAATACTTCTTTGATATTGTAATAATATCTTGTATACAGAGATATGTCAACCTCCCTGAAAAAATAGTATATACATCGTATATATACCAGTAGTACCGCACAAGGCGGTGGCGGAAGTTTCAGAATAGGAAACCTATAGGAGACGTTGGTTGTTGTGAATCACGGATGGCAGAGCGAATCCACTGATTGACCGAAAGGTGGTTGGAGTTGTGTTTGCTGGAGTGGTTGCAATGGTTGCAGTGGTCACCTCACCCACAAACTGCTGGATGTAGTGTGATGTACTGCAACTGTAGTTGTAGTTGTAGCGTAGTGGAGTTGTAGTTGTGGTTTAATGTAATTAGTGTAGTGTTGTTGCAGTCATATAGTTGTAGCTGTAGTTGTTTTGTAGTTGTAGTTGTTGTGTAGTTGTAGTTGTTGTAGTTGTAGTTGTAGCTGTAGTTGTTGTGTAGTTGTAGTTGTAGTTGTAGTTGTAGTAGTAGTAGTAGTAGTAGTAGTAGTAGTAGTAGTAGTAGTAGTAGTAGTAGTAGTAATAGTTGTTGTTGTTGTTGTAGTTGTTGTTGTTGCTGTTGTTGTAGCTGTTGTAGTTGTAGTTGTAGTTGTAGTTGTAGTTGTTGTTGTTGTTGTTGCTGTAGTTGTTGTAGTTGTAGTTGTAGTTGTAGTAGTAGTAGTAGTTGTTGTTGTTGTTGCTGTTGTTGTTGTAGTTGTTGTAGTTGTTGTAGTTGTAGTTGTAGCTGTGGTTGTTGTAGTTGTAGTCCTAGTTGTAGTTGTTGTATAGTTGTTGTGTAGTTGTAGTTGTTGTGGTTGGTGTTGTTGTTGTTGCTGTTGCTGTTGTCGCCGAAGTTAGGGTAGTTAAGTTAGTGAAGTTAGTTAAGTTAGTCAAGTTAGTTAAGTTAATCAGTGTCTACTTTTTGAACATCTTAACATCAAAAAAGGCTCAAAACCCCCAGTTTTTTACACTTTTGACTTCGAAATGTGCTTCGCGCCACAACGGCGTGCACTTTTTCAACATCCGAACCTCCAAAAGTGGTCGGAGAATGGTGTGTTTTGTACATTTTGACTTGGAAATGTGCTTCGCGCCACAACGGCGTGCACTTTTTCGACATCGCAACTTCCAAAAGTGGTCCGAGAATGATGTGTTTTGTACATTTTGACTTGGAAATGTGCTTCGCGCCACAACGGCGTGCACTTTTTCGACATCGCAACTTCCAAAAGTGGTCCGAACCTGGTGTGTTTTGTACATTTTGACTTGGAAATGTGCTTCGCGCCACAACGGCGTGCAATTTTTCATCGCTCTTGTGGCCAGCTGGGTCCGCACCCGCCGCTTTAGCGAGCCTAGTTTTCGACCCTCCGGAGCCACAAATCATTGGAAAAACACAGTGTTTCGCGACTTTTCTTTACCTTTTCGCGCATCTGTATCTTCTGCTTACTCTTTCTCTTCTGATCTTCTCTCTTCTAAGCTTCCTCTTCTCTCTGCCTCTGCCCTGCTCTGCTTTTCATCTGCCCATATTGTCGGAAGCTTGACTTCTAAACTTCCTTCGAATATTTAATATCAAAAAAATATATATATATATTTATTTATATTTATTTATTTATATTTATTTATTATAAGTGGCAGGGGTATACTTTTGTTATATGTAAAATGCCAAGCAATTCCTGACCAGGTTGGTGACAGAGCTGCACCAGCTCTTGAGACAGGCGCCTTCATTTGTTCAGCGCTGGTCACGTGGTGCTTTGAGATGTGCCCAGTCAAGTCCTGTTGGGTGCTCATTGTAATATATACGCATACAATCATATACATATTTATACAGACATATACATGTATATGTATATATATATATTCACTTATAATTACATGTTACACATAATTATATACATTTATATCATGTCATGATAATCTTACAGTCTATAGAAATAGATACGGCGTTTAAAGATGTTGCCATTGATCACTGAAGATGTGGATTGGGCTTTGCAGGTGGAGGCGAAGCTCCAGTCTCTTGGGGCGTTGGAAGTGGTTCTGATGCTGCCGAAGCATCCCAGCCTGGGCAGCAATGCCGATGAGCCACGTTCCTTGAGGAAAATCCATGGAAACCGGGGGGATGTGGCGTACACACTGCAAATGAAACATGGAATCCTAACAGTTGGTCCATATCCCATGATAAAATCCTGCCGGGGACACTATTATGTTGAGATGTAGGCTCATCATGTCCTTCGGTAGCAATTGAAATCGTCCGGCCCAAAAAGTTGGTAGTTGGTAATAGTCATACAGAATTAAGGACGGAATATAGGTCTTCACCCCGTGGCCTAAAACAATTGTGTAGGGGAAAGCGGACCTTTAGGTCAAGAATCATGACCCTTGGGCCAAGATTGAATGAAACATTGGCCTTCAGGCAGTGCTTCAGGGACTGAGGATTTCAACATTTGTTGCTTTGCGACTATTGATCCTCATGGATCCCAATAGATCCCAATGGAACATGTCTGTTTGAATCGGCACCTCAACACCATCTAGATCTTCAATATTCCTCACGTGTACATATATTTACCCAAGAAGTATTGCTATTTCTATACCCATCCTATCATAAGATCACATGGGCTGAAGCCACCCACCATGAAATCACAGAATGGTCGCGAGGTTTTGCCTTCTTCGCCCAACGTGCCAGCTGGACAGAGGCGCTACTCGTGTTAATCAACAGTGAATTCCAGCTGGGAAAAATGGACATAGGCTGTAGACATGTATAATTAAGTTATAACAATGTATGACAAGCTGTGACAAACATCATGTCCATACTGTTTTGGTCATCTGGATTTAACCAAGCTTAGAGATCACCAGACTGATTCGATGGCTTGATATGATTCAACTTCAAAAATTACGGAACCAGCTGGAACGAGTGGCCCAAAATTGCCGACCCCAGATTTGACATTTTGACCCACTTGCCAAATAGAATCGAAGATGGAAAACTAACTCTATGGGCCCTATAGTGAAGAGCACATTCCCGTGACCCAGGTGTTCAGCTGTCGTGATCTGGGTTTCAACTTACCGTGTCTCTTAGAAGTGGAACGCCTTGAGGGTGCGAAGTTGGAGCGCCTGCCACCTGTGCCTGGGCCGATCCAGCAGGATATTCGAAAAGTTGACCCAAGATCAAATGGTAAGCTGGTTTTAAGACTTGTTTAAACATGTTTAAACATATTCATCCCACTATTGTTTCATGAACCATCCAACTGTGGAATTATACAAGCTTGATCCGCATCCATTTTTGCTTGCATCTTCCCATGTTTTGGTTCAGAGTTTAGATTGAATCTCCAATTTTGTTGCTTAAGCACCCCACAGATTTGCCATTGAAGTCTCTTCTTTTGCAGGATTACATTTTTTTGAGTGAGTTTCCATTGATGGGTATTTGAGTGAACTCATGATTCAAACTTAATATATAGTATTATATAGTATTACCCCCAGGCCGGGGGTGCCGTCCAGAGGTTTATCATGTGACCAACTCTTTAGGGTTTCATTTAGGGGTTCGTTTAGGGTTTGATGTAGATAGTGTTTTTTTGTTCCTCGGCTTTAATAGCTTTATTTTTTTTACTTTCAATGCTTACTTCGGGTGTTATGTCAGATTTAGATAGATTTAGGTTTCAGGGTTTAGGGTTTTGCATTTTGGAAACAAATCTCGTCAGCCATTTGGGCAATCCGCCGACATCCCAAAATGCATAGAACACTGACCCTGCGCATAAGAAAACACTTCCCCGGGCAGCACCCTCGCCCTGGCCATAATATTGTTTATGTGTTTTGCTAGCCTTTTACCATCACCCATATGATCCATGTATGCTATATATGGTAACATTTACCATCAATATACCCCCAATGTTAATATATATATATACCATACATGGATCCTATGGGTCATATCTCCGATGTTTCTACCAGAATATGTGGTTCAAAAGCTATCGAATCTCTCAGGTCTCCTCTGCGGATCCGCAGTCGGAGGTCTTCCTGGCCACGGGCGGCGGGTCGGCCAAGGTGGTCCACGTGCGTTGCTGGGCGAAAGGGATAAGCTACAGAGATTTTGAGTGGAAGCACTTGAAGAACCAATTGGAGATAAGCAATTTGATCATCTTTGATCATATTTTATCCATTTTGTTCAATGGATTTTTAAGAATCTTAATAACCAATGGGGATTCAGGATTTAATCATTTGAACATCGGGGATATGTGTGAAGTCAGTGACACTGGTTACGATGCCTTTTTAATCCTTTTTACGTTTTATATTTTTGAACCATGTGGGAGAGGATGATCAATATTCTGTAGGAGTGAAGTTTTGGGGGTTGCCGAAACTTGTGGGGGTGTTATCTTACTTGATGTAGTTTCGAAGGCGAAGAGTCACAAGATCACAGTGCCATGGGCACGTCCAATTTTTGAACGGGACAAGTTCTTGGAAGGGCCCTACCCGTATTTTTCAAAACCCACGTTTGAGTTGTAGATGATTCGTAGAAAGTAAATTCAACTCAGTGACTCCTGAAGTGAGTTGAATTATGTACAGTACTGGTCATGATCATGCATAATGATCGTGGAGATGTTGATATATATATACATATCCACAAATGATAACATGTGATAATAAAATAACTTTGACTAATTACCGCACCTAGCAAAAAATAAGGTTGGAATGTACATGATTGTATTAAACTGTTGTATGCAATAGATGAATCAGTGGGGATAACATCAAAGTCGTCACAGTCACAGCACAGTCGGGCGAGGTTCCGTGTCGCACAGCCGGCTGGGTTTTCAGCCCAGTAGCAACTCTTGGGTCTCGCGGCTCGAGGCCTTGCTGCGCCTTGGTTCAGCGCAGAAATGGCTGGGTAAAATATGGTAAAACCGTTAGCCCAAGCATCAAGGACATTTGAACGAAAATGACAGATTTATCCGAAAGCATTTCGAATGTGCAACTCTCCAACATGGGGATGAGATAGTGAAACATGAACTGAGTATTAGGGAAGAAATGGATAGAAATGGGGGATGATGCAAACTATGGGGTCTCTGTAGCTGGAGCAGGCAGTGGGGTTATTGGGCTCGACCCCTATCCCAAACCAACAGGTCCACAGCCTAGATGCTGTAGGTCAAGTTCACCTCTTCCAACCAACGCGCAGCAGCAAGCGCACAGAGCGCTATTTCCATGCACAAGGCCTCACAGGCCTGTCGCCAGGTTTGGCTTTCGCCAAGGAACTAAAAAGGGGCCCCTACCGAGCCGGATGCAACAGCATCGAAGGTTGAGGTGTGACCTGACATGGCCGGTGGAGTTGCACCAGCATAAAAGGACTTCAGGTCACAACTCACTGTACCATGGCTTGGTAGGGAAAAGATCGAACCGATCGGAACATCTCGAGAGCCAGCATGGATTGCGAGAACTGCTAAGTCTTCTCTGTGAAGTTCAGCAGCATTGATTGCAAACGCATCCAGCTGATCTTGACGGTATAGTTCGCCAGCACTGATTGCGAGAGCATGCTCGGCATAGTTATCAAAAGCACCACTTGCAGTTAAAGGAACTTGCGTGTCACCCAGAGCATCGTCGATTTTCTGAATCGCGGTGTTGCCGGTGCGCTTGTTCTTCTTTGCTGCAACAAAGTGGGGATCATATGCGATCGACCACAGTCGGTTCAGCAAAAACTTCATCAAACCAACTCTGCTGTCAGCCCTTTTCTTCGTGAAGGCATCGGCAAGGTCGTAGTCGGATGCCACCCAACGTAGATCGCAATTGACCCGCTTCAAGTTGTCTCGAAGCTGAAATGCTTGGAGAGCCGCTCTCATGTTTGAAAGCCCAAGGAGAGGGGATTCGTTCACCTCCACAGCGTCATAGCCACCTCGGGAATCAGTGCAAAGAACTCCTGCTACAGCACAAGCTTGCTCTTCTGCAGCAGTTACCAGATCGGCTCGACGTTCAGGTCGGCATAGACCAACGCCATGAAGTTCGCTCCATAGCATGCGAACTCGGAAGTTCTGATCTTCGGCTTCAAGTATACTCTGAACTTCTGCATCGTTGCTTCCAATCGCCTTCCTCTTCAATTTCCAGCTTCGCCATGCAAGAAGGTTCATAGGGACAACCTTTCCAGTCAGGACATCTGGCCCAGCAGCCAGTGTCAAAAGTCCACCAGTAGAATCACCTTGAGGACGATTTGCATGAGACTGGTCGCCCATTGAAATAAAAACCACATCTTCTTGGTGCCTGGAAGTTTGAAGAACTGAAGATGTTGAGGAGCAGCACGAACTTCGGAAACCATTTGTTGTATTTCACGTGCTGTCTCTATTGTTCCATTTGTTACAACTTCAGTCAAAAGCAGATTGCAACGAGCACATAGTTGAGGTTGAGTTTGGATGGCCAACCATTGCAAAGCGCCCAAGGTAGTTCGGCACGCAGCTACCTCAGTTTTTGAAAGAGGTCCAGATTGTCGCCATCGTTCAGGATCCAGGTTGACATCCATGACAGTCTCGATGTAGGCATCCTGGTTGATGTGGATGGCAAACTGGCCATTCTCCTTTTTGACGGTCTGTATGTCCGTCCCAGCATGTCGGTAACTTCCTTGTTTCGAAGTTCCCCACTTGTATGCTGCCAGGACTTTCTGAAAAATGGCTTGCCATTCTTGACTATGTGGGTCGCCTACAACGTGAAAATCATCAACATGACCACCAATGGCGCCAATCAACCGAGGGTACTTGTTGGTCTCATCCTTCAGCTCTTTTGAAAACCAACCCCAAAGACATCGTTCGCCAAGAATTGGTACAGCACCAAGTCCAACAAGCTTTTTGTGAAGATCAAGCCAAAGACCACGTGGAGCTGTTGTTGAACCATAGATGTTTCTCAAAACACGCATGATGCCCTCATCTTGTAGGCCAAGAGCTGCACGTAGCTCAGAAACGCCAGTTGTCCAAAGTTCCTGATCGGCTTCTGTCGGCTGTGTTTGAAGAAAAGCGGTGGCCAAATCAAGTCCATGTATTTGCCACTGATGATGGGTTGCAAGGAGGTACAGCATGTTGCGCCCCACCATACTTTGAACAGGAGCCGCAGTCTTGAAGGTGCGATCAAGGAGTGAAGGATGCTGGAAGCCCAGCAAAACAATTCTGGCTTTGGCCTTTTTGGAGCCATCTTTTGTGAGGACAGTGTTGGGATCCTCACTTGCTTCTTTTCGAGCATCATCTATCTCATCAGGAGGCGTTGATTTCCATGTCAAAATCCATCGCGCCTTGATGATTCTTTGTGATTCAACAGCTCTACGAACTTCTTGATCATCCAAACAACGTCGCACGGCCTGGTTCTTCAAGAAGCTGTCCACTTCGCGTGACTTGGCCTTTTCAAAAAGAGCTCGATGTTCAGGTGTCAACTTCACCTATTGGACTTCAGCATTGCCAACCTTCTTGGCCATGAAAAGTGAAGGATTTCTCACGAGCTGCTTCCTTTGACGTTGGGAGTCCATGGAGAGGTCAAAGGAAATCATGAAGGCCTCTTCAACGCAGGGATCTTGAAGAGCAGTGTGGACATCCATAATTTGAGCTTCTAAGGCCGCATCTTGTTGAAGTTGTTCGACCCACTTCATGTCATATTCAAGGTTTCTGGGTCGCTTGCTTTCAGGAGCTTCAGGGTGTGGATCACCAGGAGAGTGTTCCTCAGGAAGGTCATTGATGGGAGTTCCAGGTTCATACTCATCATCATAATCATTGACTGGTTGCACAGGAGCATCCTCAACTGGTAAGTCCAGACCAGCAGGTTGTGAAGAGGAAGCCTTGCGGTCAAGTCCAGGTGACCGAGATCGTTCTGCACGTCCAAGTCCAGGGAGAGGTGCAGGATCTCTGACGCCAAGTCCAAGAGGCGTTGACCTGTGCACAGTTTTCCAGTCATCTGATTGGAGTTGTTTCTTTCCCCAAATCCGCATCGCAGGAATGACAGAGGTGTCATCAGGTTTTGGAGGCAGGATTTGTAGTTCAGGTTCATCAGGATCTGGAACTTCATCGGTGATATCCACAAATTCTCGTTCTGGAACAAGATCTGAAAGCGTCTTCATCTTGGTGACGTCCTCCTTGGAGTGCACATCATGATGAAATCTTTCCACAGCAGTCACAGGCCTGACACTGTGAACTGAGCACTTGAAGAGCTTGCCATGCATGAGCACCCAAATGATGTGACGTCGAGGATCATCACGGTCTTGATGAGGAAGTAGTTCAGTGAAGACAACTCTTCCAGGTCCAACCCAGCCAGGTCTGCTGGTGCGTTTCATTCCACCACGAGGACCTTTGTAAGCATCACTTGGAAGAACTTTGCGCCAAACTTTGACAAGGTCCGCAATCTCAAAGGTGCGCAAGGGCTGTCTGGCCTTGCTATTGTTGAGCCTTGTCATGATTCTCTGCGCCCTTGTCTTCGTTGCTACATCTTCAGCTCTTTGACGAGCAGCAACCATTGAAGCAAAAGACGCACGATCACCAAGTTGGGCAAAAAGTCGACGGTCTTCCTCACTGATGGTGCAGGCACGGCCAAATGCCCACTGATGTGAACTGAAGCCGCTGACAAACTCTGTGGAGTTAAGTGCAGAGGCAGCCAAGGTCAAAGTCACAGATGGATCCTGGGCAAAGTTGTCCATCTGGATAGCTGTTGCGGTATGTTTGAACTCCCGCATTGCATTCTCAACCAATCCATGAGCCCAAGGTTCTTTTTCTGCAGGCATGGAGAGCTCGATGTTCTGGTCGCGGCAAAAGTCAGCAAACTCTTTTGCCACAAAGCCCATGCCATTGTCGGGAATGATCACCTCAGGTTTTGGATAGTGAGCCAGCCAGCTCTTGGAAACAGCCTCAATCACTTGGGCAGAGCTTTCAGTACGCATCTGGTTGATGCCGTAGGGTTCCATCAATGGTATTGCAACACGCAACTTGGTGGCATAGTCGATCATGAGCAAGAACTTGATCTTTTGGTTGAGGCCCAGCACAACCCATTCTGACGCATCAAGTCCAAGCGCCTGCCAAGGACCAAATTGAGCATGTGTTGCAGCAGGAGGCACGTTGCCGCTTGAAGCACCACCAGGTTTCAAACCTTCGCAAATTGGACAAGTGAAGTCCTCTGCCATCTTGATCTTCCATTTGTCCAGATTGGCATCACGGACAATTCGACTAAGGTTGCGACTTGAGCAGTGACCAGCCGCCTTGTGGAAGTGCATGAGTTTGGCCTTCCACCGTTCACGTTCTGCAGCATTGGGCGGTTCATCCGCAGGATTTGGTGCAGGAGGTTCAGCACCAGCCGCAATCTCGCCAGGATCTTCATCAGCAGGGGCCGCATAGAGGTCAATGTCCTCATCGTCAACAAGCTCCTGGAAGTTCATGCGCCGTAGTTGTTGATTGCTCACAGTCTGCTTTGCCCAAAAACGAGCAATGGACTGGACCATCTTCCAGGGATAGTAGCTTGATTTCTGAGTTTCACGACCCTCAATGCGTCCGTGGCAATGTCCACCTTGACATACTTTGCAACGAAACTGACTGTGAAAAAGTTCATCATTTGTTTTCACCAACCATTTCTTTCGCAGAAAGTTTTGTTGTGCATCAACCATACCGTAGCGACATCCATCGATACGACAATCCAACCACTCATGCCCATGTTTTTCAAAAAGTGCTTGTATTGCCAAAAGCGGTTTTTGTTTCCAACCAAAGCAAGGATGAGGCCACTCGTAGTAAACCAATAGTTCAGGGTCATCCTCCAAGGCCTCGGTGAGAAATTCATGAGCATACCAAAGAAGTCGCCGTTCACGTCGTCGATGATCTTCAAGGAGTTGTTGCCGCTCAGGTCCAACATAGTTGAGGCTTGACCATTGGCACCAAAATGTGCAAGGAAGAGACCACCATAGACGTCGAGGTCGATGTCTCCGTCGTAGTGCACGTAGATGATCCCAGGTCTCCTTCTTGTAGAGGTCGTAGCCGGACTGCAGGTTGATGCGCCTCGGATTCAAGCCTTGCATCTGAGCCGCCTCGGAAAGCCAAGAGTGTGGAGAGCATGCAATCTCCCATAGTCCATCACGGTCATCAAGTGCAAAAGAAGCCATCATAGTGGTTGCCGTCGCCAACATTGTAGTTGCCAGGAACATCACCTTTGCCGCCAGGCGATGTGTGAGCTCATAGGTCTTGTTGGCGTCCTTGACATTCTTTGAAACCTTGGCATTCTTTGTCACCTTGATATACTCAGTGTCCAGGTCATTCTCAAGCACCTTGGGGTTCTGTGGAGCCTTGACATTCTTGTGAGCCAGGTCATTCTTTAGGACATCTCCGCCGGATTGGCGTTGTTGGCATTCGGATCCACGTAGCCCTCCGCCGGCATGTAGGCATTGTCCACCATGTCCCATTGAGCCGCTGGTGAGCTCGATGCTGTCGAAGGAGACGGCTTTTTTGTTCTTGCCTTTGTCGACGGGAAGGCGCTGTTGAACGCCTGAGCATCCATCTCCTGGTTGATGTGGGTCTACAGCACCTCTTCGGCTTCGATCAGCTTCACCATTGCCGCGCAAATCGTCTGATTTGGGCGGTAGCCGTTCATCATTGGTTGCAAGCGCTGCAGCATCTTTTGGATCATCACAGGGTTCTCGACCTTCGTGGAGCCGCTGGTGCTTCCCTTCTTCGGCACATACTGAAGGCGTAGGTTACACACCATGCAGTGCACCCAAGCTCCATGTGCATTTCCCTGAGGCTTCGACGGAGTGTGAGCTCCGTGACATGGCCATTGTTGGGAGTCGGCACGAGGGTCCCTTGGGTCGTGACCCATCGTGCGCTCCGGGTCCAGAGGTCTGGAAGGAGCCGGTTTCGGCATGGCCTTCTTGATTGCATCCCGTACTTGTTCTTGTCGATGTTCCTGCGCCATGGTCAGTCTGCACACAGGAAGCGGATGCGGTCGAATTGGAAATCACAGGGCTGTCTCTTGGACACATTGAAGCCAGAGTAGCTTCGGCATTCGCATCAGCATGACCATGTTGTTGTGCATGTAGAGCCATCAGGTTCCTTCTCGATCTTTCCAAAACATGTTCATCATGTACATGGTCAGACATGCTCATGTCATAGAACTCAACCGGGTGAAATTCAAGAGTTTGCAGCTCGGCAGACTGGATGTGACCCTCCATGATATGTATAGTTGGATGACCTTTTTGATTTGAATGCCCCAATGTAAGGTAGTAGACAATGTCCCGAATGTAGTGCCCCTTATTGTTACTAGGTAGTTGATGTATTGTTGGTGAAGGATTCAAAGACTCGACAGCCAAACCAGTGTTGAAGTCAATTGTCAAAGCGCTTTCTGGGCTGTCCCTACCACTCAAATGATCCATCCCCAACAGCACGGGTACCATGTTCTTTGGGTCCACATTCTTGGGGTCAGGCAAACAATACATGTGGAAATTTCGCTCAGTGCCAGAAACTTTGGAGGAAATAGTGACTCTAAAATTGGCTTGCCCCCAACAACCATTCCCAAAGCGAAAGTAAGGCCGCATGTATTTCGCAATGGTCACAGCAGCTCCTCGATCCTGAGCCAGTACAGAGTTGATTAACTTCTGCACACTTGTTTCAGGCCCAGCACTTGCAGTAGCGCCGCAATCGAGAAGACCAAGATTGGGTGGCATGTTGGTTGCCGCATTGGATTGAGCCTCATAGGTTTCCTGCAGTTCCAAGCCGTACATCACCTGGTTCTCAGCAGCGTAAGCATTCACAACTGGACGGCTTGGTGACTGCTTGGCTTTTCCTTTTCCTTTCCACATCGCATTCAAGTCAGCCAAGCTGGCATGTTTGCCCTTGCCCTTGTTCTTGGACTTGCCTTTACCCTTCATGTAGTAGAGCTCAGCAGTCTCCCAATCCACCATGTAGGCATGAGGAGATTTCCCCTTACCTTTCCCCTTCATGTACGAAGGATGGTATTTGTCAGGGCAATCTCGTGCAAAATGATTTCCTCCACAAATGAAACACTTGCCATCGTTGGGAGAACGCTGATGTCCAAATCCACGGTCCTTGCGAAGCAGGGCAGTTGCTCGTTGAGCTTCGGCCCAAGTCCTCTGAGCTTGAGCAAGGATGTTTTCTGCATCACCCTCAGCCTTCATTGCATCTTGTAGTTGAGGATCATCAGCACCATCATCTTGTAGAGGTGGTTCAGGTTGAGAGTGTTGTAGATCACCCCATTGATCCCATTCAGGCTCAGCCCAGTAGTCGGCTTCGCTCCAGTAGTTCTCACCCCAATCATCATGCCAATTCGGGTCATAGGTCTCGTCAGACACCTGGAAGGACTCATTGTAGTAGCCCGCCATAGAACTCTTCAAGGAAGTAGTGCTGCGTCCAAGAAACTGCTCATCCCATAGGGTCTGAAGTGCCTGTGTCACCACTTCGAACTCAAGACTTCCCTTCGTCGTGGCCAAGATGTCCCTCTTCTCATCAGGACTGAGTCCAGCTGATTGCAACAACCGGAAGCCTCTCAAGACACCCAAGACGAAGCTGTCGGCCAAGGAGAACTCGTTGATCTCACCTTGAACTTCGCCTGCAGCTGAGGTTCCAGGAACTCCAACAGAGCGAAAACTGGCATCAGGTTGAGCACGTCGAATTGGAGACATACCCACAGAGCCTTCTGCAGCCGCTGTAGCCGTAGGTGACGCCGTAGGTCTCGCCGGTGAAGGAGGTGAAGCAGCAGCACCAGGAGGTTCTTCTTGTTCTGGATCATCATTTGCATCATACCACCAATCAGCCCATCCATCACGGGGAGCTTCTTCAGGTAGATCAAATGTTTTGTCATGCTGCTGAATCCCTTTCTTGTCCTCATACAACAGCAGGAGCGCCTCCACGAACTCTGAGTAGCCCAAGGCTTCCCTGACAAGGAAGTTGTTCATGGCTTCTCCAGCTTCACGTCTAAAGCTGAAGTACTGCTGACATGTTGCAGCAGCGTTCGGCAATGTTCGCCTCACCAGTGGAGAAGCTGCCAATCTTTGTAAAAGATCTCGGACTCCATTCACATGGTCAAATTCCATTGTAGTCCAGCTCATAGCCAATAGTCGAGCAGGACCACGTAGTTTCCCCACCAGTTTTGTAGCGCAGTACCTTCTTTTCTCAACTGGTGTGGCCCTCACATACCAACAAACCTCACGTGTATACCTTCGCCATGATCTTGCGCTTCCGTCCCAAACTGGAACGTTTTGTTCCTTCTCAGATGACATCTCCTGAGAAGTGGTTGATGGCCAAAATGGCCTGCAAAGGATCCCAGCCGCGTCACTGGGAAGTGCAAATTCAAACTGGTAAAAGAGCTCGGCCAAAAGGTCGTGGAAGTTCAGGACGTAGTATCCCGCTTCGACCAGCCAAAAGGTTTAGGTCCAAGCTGTAGCACCGGAGATTCAAGTCACCTTCAATGACGATCTCAACAGGGCCAAAACGTAAGGCCTGGAGCTTCTGCTCCGCTACCAATGTAGCTGGAGCAGGCAGTGGGGTTATTGGGCTCGACCCCTATCCCAAACCAACAGGTCCACAGCCTAGATGCTGTAGGTCAAGTTCACCTCTTCCAACCAACGCGCAGCAGCAAGCGCACAGAGCGCTATTTCCATGCACAAGGCCTCACAGGCCTGTCGCCAGGTTTGGCTTTCGCCAAGGAACTAAAAAGGGGCCCCTACCGAGCCGGATGCAACAGCATCGAAGGTTGAGGTGTGACCTGACATGGCCGGTGGAGTTGCAGTCTCCCCGTTTCCCCCAGGCCTGAGACCAACCAAACTGGTTTGTGGCTGTTTGTGGTTCTACTTGAGTTATAAAACTCTGTGTATAGGATGATATTCCCAAGCGACTTCATCCAAGCAACGAGGAAACCCATTCTCCAAAGGATAGGGAATCTGAGCCCTGCCGAAGGGCACTGACAGCTCAGGTTGGCGGTGGTGCACGAGTTGCATGGCATGAAAACGGTGATTTGCGGGCACTTTTGGATATCCCAAGGATATCCACGGATTGATATGGATTGATACGGGGGAACCCCAATAGCCGGATGGTTTATAATGGAAAACCATGGAAAACCCTTTACTAAAATGGATGATTTGGATTGATTTGGGGGTACCCGTATTTTTGGAAACCTCCATATGGATTGATATTTTTTTGGGGGTGAAGTGTTGAAAGCACCAGGAGGATGCGAAAAGAACACGACCGAGACGATCGCCTGATTTGTGCAGTGTAGAGGCTTTCATTTGTCAGGTCGATTCATGCAATCAGCGACTGTTCCATAAGTATAGATAGAAAATGATAGACATATAAATATAGAAATGGATGTCTTTGTCAGTAGAAAGGGCTTACCATTCCATATCATTCCATTTTTTTTGGATATGGCATGAGTACCCCAAAATGATGAAAACGGACTAATTTCACATGGAAAAAAAACTGGTCTTTGATTTGGCCACTGTAGCTGGAAGCTCAGGATGGAATGTGCCAGACTTTCTCCCAAGGCTGCTGGCAGCGAAGGTGGCATGGATGCATGTGGCAGGGTCTTGAGAGATGAAGAAAGGGCAAAGGAGTCAGGAAATGTCCGGAATAGTCATCATATTGGATCCAGTTTTTTCGGGTGAGCTTGAAGGGTTTTGAACGATGAGTCCAACATAGTCCAACTGAATTATGGGCATTTCGGGACTTTGAAGTTCCTATAGCCAGACATTCAGGGCCGGGTCGCTGAGGTCGGATGTTTCTGCACCTCACCTCGTTGGCAGAGATTGCCCCTTGAAATCAACAGATTTGGAATATGGGTTCTGTATCTTTTCTATATGGATTTATATGGATATATGATAATTGCACAAGCACAACTTGCTGACCAACATACTTTTTGCATACTTTCGCATTTTTTTGCAAACATATCAATCAAATGCAATTCCTACACTGACTGAAATCCAACTTGATACTCAGCTACAAATCTAGAAGTCTATGCCGTTCATTTTTCTCATGGCTATTTGCACACGTTCATTTTCTTAAGTGGTATCATTGGCATTGTGGTACTGGATATGTCCCCTGCCTGGTGCCAGGCAGCCACGGACCTCTTCCAACTGCTGCAGTCCTTCGTGGTGGAATTCGTGGCACGCCATGGTGCGCTCCTACAGGCCTTGTGGTTGGATGAGATCACGCTGAAGGCTGCGATGGGGGGAGACACACAACGTTTAACATCGTTGATATAACATTATATAACCAATTTTAACCGTGTTTAACCGTCCTTCACCGTTTTCAGATGGTGGGTGGTTTCAAATATGTTCTACTATCATCTACTAGTCTATCTGAGCCACCGCAAAAACTCCGGCAGTAGGAACCACGTCAGGAACGGGCATTGGCTTCGGACCTTTTACAAACATGAGTTAAGCGAATGGGGACGTTTCCAAATTTGCTGATGCTTTTCGTGAGCACAGAGTTTCCGAGATTGCTCATCTTAGGAGGTAGAGATTCGGAGCTACAATAAGCTATGGGTATCCATTGGTTTTTTAATGGGGAGCAAAGGAGCTACTAAAAGTTTACCATTATATGATATAGATTGATATATAGTATATGTTTCATTTCTTTTGGCATGATGATGTTTCCAAAGACTGCAATATAATTATAATGTTCAAAGGGGGGTGACACCACCATTTTATGGGATATGATATGATGGCAATATTGTGGATGGGATGTTAATTATCAGCAGATCTTACAACTTCAAGAAAATATGTGGAATGAGGATTGAAACAACACAGACTGGCGGTTTAGACAGTGAACATGGGGCATCAACAATCAAAAACTGGAATTTTGACAGGTGAAAAAATATCACGAAAGATCGGGGCTTTAACATGTCATGAACATGTGGATTTAAGTTGGGATCGATACCCAGACATTTTGGGATAGCTAACGGCTTATGGAAGATCACATTGTTTAAAGGTGACACATCGAACTAAATGAGCCATTTTCCACAAAACATGCTAAAATTACCAGAAGGTATTACCTACAGATTCACCATCATAGATGATTTTTCCATTCAAACCTCCATTTTGATGGGGGATTTCCAGCCAGGTCCGCTTGGCAAACTTGGGATCAGAGGTTGATGGCTGCCAAGGGGTTCTGCGCTTCGTTGCGACCTCTGGTGCTGGGGAGTACATGAACCTTGGATAACCTTGGCGTCAGTTGAGTCAGTTGGAGTTAGGGATGGCAACTGGGATGTCTTCAGAGTGTTTCATCCAGCGTTTAATAAGTTTAATATAAAAAGTCATGATAAAGCACCAATTTGGTAGAGAACCATGTTGTTTGCTGTTTCTGCTATTCCCAACGGTATTAAAAGCAAGGCCTCACCCCCCTTGGTGCAATGAGACGTCTTCAGGGTCCTTTACGATTTGTACTCAAATCGCATGTGGAACATATTGCCCTTCCCAAACCGTTTTCCATTTGACGGTCCCAGAATGTCCAAGAACCTGAGATGATGGCAGTGGATCCGGAGAAGATTGCGGAACATCCCGAATCGGAAGAGAAACCGAGAGATCACAAGAGTCCAAAGATCTGGAAACATGTCCTGTTCAAGTTGGTAATATCTATATTATATTTATATTTATATATTTATATAAGTTGATGTATGTTGATTCAAGTGCCGTGTCAGGAAATGCCACGGTTGGTTGGAGGAGGTGGACCCCCTGAGTGGTTCCCCCGTGGCCTGGCGCGACCTCTCCACGGGGCAGACGGAGGGCGCAGCGGCCACCGTGGCCGAGACGGCGGAGGCGCAGCGGCGGCAACGGAGGCAGACGGCCCGGCGGGCGGGATCCACCTATGCGCCCGAATTCCTGGGTTTGTTGGAGGTGGCACTGGTGAAAGATGCCTGGAAGCATTTAAGATATAATATGATATAATGATAGTTATACGGTTAATTGTTTAAGAGCTGATCTGGATGGTGGGAGAGGTTGTTGCAATTTGAAGATTATGTTACTGATGTTGGGTTTGTTGTATGGTGTTTTTGCGCATTAGTGATTGAGATTGTCATTTCTTGACATTGTTGTTGGAAGAGATTCTTTTTTTGGGGCTTGAAGGAGTTGATGGTGAAGAGGCATTGTTGTTGTTGTTGTTGTCGTGGTTGGGATGCTTCAAAACATTTAAAAATCAAACGATAGGATATCTTAGTGAGTGGGATTCACTGGTCAATGATGAAACTGGACTTTGAAGTTCGTTCCAATCACATCCCACAGACTATACTAATCTATATGTCTATGTTACAGCGGTTTGGAAAGATTTTGTCGACGTGCTCTGTAAATTCATACGATTACTAGCCTTGTTAGCATTGTTATTCCTAATTAATTACTATTGTTGCTGTTATTATTTGATATTATGGACATTCTTTAGAACAATATATTTAGCAATGATAACAGTGACACCCGGATAAAAATAACATCACAAGACAAGAATTCAATGTTCACTGCATGATTTGTTGTGAAGCCTGAGGACTGGGCGAACTTTTCGCGCAAGCGACAATGCTCGGTGCCCAAGGAGCTGTTGGTGGCCAGCGAGTTGAAACTGTCCAGCGGCGAGCTGCAGGAAAGTGACAGGTGGGGCAGTGAACATAGTGAATTGTGAGCAAGGATGTTGGCTCATGATGGTTCATGAACATGTGTTTCCCTTAAATTGAAATATTATGCGAATATACGTATATATATATACTGTATATATATATTATAATATTATATATATATTTGTATTTCGACACATGTATGATTAATATATTTATATACACATATTGTATATATATACTGTTGTTGTCATTGGTACTGAGGACTGACACTAGCACATGTTTGGGTGGAATTTTGTTGAGAGATTGGTAGGCGTGATTTCTGGTACTAAACGATATTTTATTTTTATGCTCTACAATGCAGGTATTACGTTGATCTTGTTGCAGTGTTGCAGGTATGCGAGCCAACGATAATGCTTTGCGTTTATCCAATAGTGGCCATGAAAGTAATTTACATTGTTCTCATGTTCTCATGAATCAACGTCATGGAACATAACTTATGAAGTGCTGCCGTGTGAGTGCACTGAGGTGGGTTCGTGCATCTCAAGTTTTAGTATATTCAATGTCACTGGATTGAAGCATCCCCGGTATCCCCCAATTGTAAAGCCATGCCGCCCATGCCTCAAAGAGTTTTCTCTACTTGATTGCAGCTTCCTAAAGCCATCACAGGTTTTTACCCTCTTGGATGTTCATCCCAGTTGTCAAAATTTCTTTATACTTCTAACATCTTCTAACCAGTACTTACACATCACTGTGGTATCCAAACCAATCGCAGCTCCTGGAACCTTACCAGACTGATCCAACAGGAAGCACGACATCAGCAGCAGCGACATCGGCATGTTGGCCTGGCGACTGTTCCTGCGCACCCCGGAGTTCCCTGAGGGACGCTCCCTGGTGTTGATCGCCAACGACGTCACGCACCAAGCAGGTGGGACTTAACATTTGACAAACCACAAGTAGGCATGGAAAGCTAAAAAGGGATAATTACCAAGGGACCTACTAAGGGTAGACATGGGTAGACTCAAGTTATCTCAAGTTACTCAAGTTGCAATTGTTGACTACAGCAGGAATATACAGCATCAAATTGGCAATTGTTAGTGCTAGATCAGCAAATTGCTGGGTTCGATTGATTTGAGCCATGTTTTTTGATGGTCGTTAACCTTTGGTGAATGATTCTGATACCATGGTCACACCATATATGCACAATCTATGATTCTGATTTCAAAGCCATCCTCTCGAAGCCGGTTCTTCCAGGTTCCTTCGGTGTGGCAGAGGACCAGTTCTTTAAGAAAGCCACGGAATACGCGCGGCAGCGGGGCTTGCCACGGGTCTACATCGCCTGCAACAGCGGTGCACGCGTCGGGCTGGTGGATGAGATCATTCCCAAGCTACAGGTCCAATGGAAAGATGCCAGCGACCCATCCAAGGTGCATGGCATGTTTACGTAAAGGATCACATATGATGTAGGAATATGTAGGATGTTGGTTTGAAGACATTTGAGAATCCATATGAATTGAATTGAATTGAATTGTTAGTATTCTATAAGTTTCCCCTTGTTAGTTTTCAGGGTGCCCCAATACGTCATCTACCGGCACCTTCAAATCATGATCAAGTAGGGCCCGCAAAAATCAGATGAATAACATCATAGTACAACATCACAAAGATCTAAAAACGTTTAAGATACATGTTCTCTTTACCCTGCAGGTCATAGTTCCACTGATTGGTGGTTTGGATCATTTTATATTTTCCCCAATAGTTGGGATTATGATCCAATCTGACTTTCATATTTTTCGGGGGGTAGGTATACCACCAATTAGTTCCATCATGTTCCATATGCTTTTCATGTCATATACCCTCTGGTAAACTAACATAGCTATGGAAAATCACCATTTTTAATAGGTAAACCATCTATAAATGGGCCATTTTCCATGGCTATGTTAAATAACCAGAGGGTATGTTTCACATTGTTTCACCAGGGCTTCGACTTCCTTTACCTCACCGAAGCGGACTACCAGAGCCTACCCTCGGGCGCCGTCATCGCCACCTTGGTGCCGGAGGTGGGCTATGCCCTGGAGGCGGTGGTGGGCTTGGGCTGCCGTGCCTCGGTGCAACAAGGAGGACATCCGGTGACATCCGGTGACCATGGAAAATCCATGGAAAAGTCTGGGAGATCAATGGAAAATCCATGAAATATCTCATGAACAAATATGAAAAACATGAGAATCAGGGAAGATCAAAGTGAAAGAGAACATGAAAGTGGGGGGAAATGTAGCTAACTAGTCAGTGTTTCGAGGCAGCGAGGCAAACATGAGTTTCTTTATTTTCTTATGAACGGATTTCATCCTTTGTAATGTTGCAGGTGGTGTCTACTTGCAATTGTGAGTTGAGTATGCGCTGCAGTGTGCACTTGTTTCTTTGACTCTTGCTACGGTGCAGTTGCCTCTATGTACTAGTCGGGGCACTTGAAATGTGGTCACTGGAAACAGTTTCAACATCACGCTTCAACGCTTGAATGCTGGTCTACCCTCCTACTGGGGTTCTTGACAGAGGCAAGATAGGGAACCCATTGGAACCCTGCACAATGGTGACATTTTTTTTGTATGCATAAAAGTTGGTGATTTTGCTACTGCTATGATCACATGCTGCCAGGTTCCATCGATGGCGGCATCGGTGTGGAGAATTTGCAGGGCAGTGGCTCCATCGCGGGCGAGACGTCGCGAGCATACAACGAAGCTGGTTGCAGGTTGGTGCTGATTGATGGTGCTTCATGCAGTAAACCCAACAGTCAAAATCCAAGCTTCATGTTAAAGGTCAATCAACCATGATACACAACTGATCCACACCGATACACTCACCAAATAATTAGATACGTTTTTGTTGATTGGTTTTATTGCAATATATTGCCATATGTCTATATCCATGACTTTGGAAGATGAGTGCAACTGCGATCAACTGAAACTGAGTTTATATGTTTCTCAAATGCGCTGAGAGTGTCTTCCACTCTGCTCGCAACATTTTCATGATGTACAAACTTGACTAGCTGGTTGCCTAGCTGGTTGATGTATACATACTATTATATACTTAAGTGTCGACCCCTATTTGATTGCACTCAGAGTGACATGTGTTTTGCATGATTCGAACCAACCAACATGAAACAAATTATCCAAAGAAGTTCCTTTTCATATCCCTAGCATACAATAACATGATGGGATATTATGGGACTGCATTGGACTGTACGATTTCTGGAGTTGAACTCAGGGAAATTCCTCAGCTGTGTGCAGCATGTGTGCGTCCCTAATTGCCATGGCTGAGTACAATGATGTACAAGGTATCTGCAGTATCCCAATGTATCCTCATTTTAGCCCATTGGTTACTCAGCTGAGCATGTGCTCGCCAGTGACTGGCCCATCTCAGGACATTTTCACCTTGTCCTACGTCACTGGCAGATCCGTGGGCATCGGTGCGTATCTGAACCGCCTGGGACAACGGGTCATCCAATCGGTGGATGGGCCCTTGGTACTCACTGGCTATGGTGCTCTCAACAAGTTGCTGGGGAAGAATGTCCCCTGGAAGAAGACACATGTTTTGTACATAATTGTCATGCTGATTCTTGCACATTTTCTCATCAGGGACAAAGTGAACGGGGGGTCCAACTGCATCAAGTACACATGTTGACACTATTTTATGTGTAAGTTGGGAAACCATACTTTTTGATAACTTTTTGATAGTGGGTTTGGTGCTTGGTTCCCTCTATTAAAAAAACGATCGTCCTGGATTCCAGACCCATTGGGGTTCATTGGTCCAGCCTCCAAGGTGTATTTTTCGCAAGACCAGCTTGGAGGACCCCAGATCATGGTTCCCAACGGCATCACCCACCAGCTGGTACAAAACGATCAGGAAGGTGCTGAGGCAATTCTGAAGTGGCTCTCCTTTGTTCCCAGGGATACCTGGTCCCTGCCGCAGTCTGTAACTTCTTTGGACCCTCCTGAACGATTGGTGGAATTTAGACCCACGAAACAGGCTTACGATCCTCGGCACATGTTGGCTGGAACGACAACTGACAATGGCAAATGGCTTTCTGGTTTCTTCGACCGAGGAAGTTTCGTTGAATACATGGCTGGTTGGGGCCGAAGTGTAGTAGTAGGTCGAGCACGCTTGGGGGGCATCCCCATGGGTGTGATAGCAGTCGAGACCAGGAATGTTGAAAGGAGAATACCTGCTGATCCCGGCAATCCAGAGAGTAGAGAGATTGTCGAGCCTCAAGCAGGGCAAGTGTGGTTTCCTGACAGTGCCTACAAGACAGCCACAGCCATACGGGACTTCAATGTGGGCGAAAATCTTCCTTTGATGATCTTTGCCAATTGGCGTGGTTTCTCTGGAGGAACTCGAGACATGTACGGAGAAGTCTTGAAATTCGGAGCTCAGATTGTGGATGCCTTGGTGGATTACAAACAACCCGTCTTCATTTACATTCCCCCGGAGGGCGAACTCCGTGGGGGGTCCTGGGTAGTGGTGGATCCAGCCATTAATCCCGATGTCATGGAGATGTACGCCGATCAAGACAGCAGGGGTGGGATTTTGGAGCCGGCTGGTAGCTTGGTGCCGACTAGTGCGGGAAGTCTGGGAGTCATCAACAATTTACATAAGTTTAAGAAGGGAAAAAAGAGATTGTGAACTATGTATACAAATATGGCTTATATTCCAAGTGAATCCAAACGAGTCAAGTTTTTTGATTTCTTCAAATTATCCTTTATTTCACCGTCACCAGACATGAATCTACTGAGTTTGACTCCTGTTCAGGCATAATTGGGCAATATGGTATATCCATTGTATATCCATTGAATATCCCTCAATATCCCCAAACTTCACCCATCCTCCATCCATCACCGCATCAGTGCCCCCTTGCCTCAGGCGTGGTGGAGGTGAAGTTCCGCGCGGCGCAGCGCAGGGAACTGATGCATCGCCTGGATGAGCAGCTACAGCAGCTGGATGAGCAGATGAGCCTCGAGCGCTGGTGAATTGCTGGTGGGTGATTTTAACATATTTTAAACACGTTTGAACATTGATTTGGAGCTATAAATTGTTGGGATATTCATATGATATATGAGTGGAAAGAACAGATAGATGCCATGATCATGATGGCAGCAGGAATGTTTAGTGACCCATGGCAAATGGTAACCAATCAGAATGGTATTGGAAGGATAACTATCAAAAGCATTTCAAAAGCCCTTTTGAAAAGGTCAGGTATCCAAGGTTTGCAGACTGGTAGTGACAAGATGGCCATAAGAGATGACTTCGAGGAGTTTCAACAATTATGGGTGATATGCCATTCTTGCAGGACAAAGAAGCCATGCTTTTCCCAGCAAATCACACCAGCATATATCTCACCAGATGTGCAAACAAGATTGGGAATATGTTGAAAATTGCTTTGCCGTGTTGCATCCTATGTTTTTACTTCGTTTGCTGTACTTTCGTTGGCCAACGAATCTATCTAGTACCCCAACTGCTGGTTCAGTATCCCATCCCCCAGTCAATGATCATCAACCCTTGCCTTGGGTCATCAGGAAGACGTCACCTTCCGAAGAGGTACCCTGGCAGCAAGCACGCAGAAATGCAGCATGTTAGGTTTGTGAGTTTTTCTAAACATTGCACCAACTTACCAATATTGAACCAACAACAATGGAGAGATTAAGCAAAACATCTCAAATATACGTTATAAGTTATAACGCATACAACCAGAGGAAATGTGAACTTGAACTGTTGGAACTCAAACATGGCCAGGAATCTCGCTGGAAAATCATCCAGATTTTGGGGGTTGATTCAATTCTGCTTCGGTCATTTCAGCCTATGTGTTTTCTTTTTACAGTACTCCAAGATATTTCAAGAACATGTTCAAGGTTGATTTTTTTTCCAGGGTCTAGGAGAACAGCCAGTGAAGGGTTTGGTTCAAGCGCTTGAAGCTGGGACCAACAGATTGTGTTCAGTCAGAGTTCAAACATCGATTGTCTCAGCCCAAATTTGACCGGTGCATTGATGGGCTCCTGTCTGAAACAGTTGGATTGAAGAAACGTCGAATGTTCCTGGTCCCAATTAGCTCTGATCGGCCTGAGCTATTGGTAGTTTACCCCAAAGGAATTGTACACAGATGTTTCTATCGTTAGTATTGGTACCTCAAGTTTGACCCAAACCATCCAATGCCCTAAAAGAATGAATCATTTTAAGCTACATCCCCATTACCTTTGCTAGTCAAGTCATCTCAAATCCCCATTGTTTTTGTCCCAAGAAAGAAATCCGTGTTGTAATGACATTCTCACTACCTTACTATCTATCCCCAAACATCTTCCAACAAATCTTCAGAGGCCACGGAAAATCACGATTTTACCAACCCTAAATCCATCCAAATTCATCAAAATTCATCAGTGAATTGTTCCATCAAAAGCCAACAACCTGGTGGGGTTTCCCGGGGGTTTCCCGGGTTTTCCCAGGTACAACAGGAGATCCAGGCCCGAGAAGAGATGCTGCAGCCACTCTACACCCAGGTGGCCTGTGAGTTCGCTGACCTCCACGACCGTGCGGGGCGCATGAAGGCGGTGGGCGCCATTAAAGAGAGTACCTTGGATTTTGTTTTGATGCATGTTTTGGCAAAAATGAACCTATATGAACATTATGTTTCTTTGGTGTTTACTGGAAAAGTTTGGGATGATGTTTTTGTTTCTTGTACCCCTTTTTTCTGTATCTTATGATCTTAGTGATTATTTAATATTTTTTTCACGGTTCAGGTGTCAATAGTACATAGGATATTCTTGCATTCAGAAAACACATATTTCTATATGTTCAGCAAATGGACATGATCAGCGCGTGGGTTGATGGGGTTGACATGGATGATCATGGATGTACATACTGCCTCAAACTTGCCAGAATTTCTTCATACATGTTGATGCAACGGGTCTGTCAACGATTTTCCAGCCACTGGTTTCCCGTCCCCCTGAAAGATGCGGTTGCCAGCTTTCAGCAGCACCACCTAACCACCAGGCTCTGGAATGTGTATAGGGACTAGTTGCTTTCTTAAGGTCTGGAGTGGCACTCTTCGCGCGAGTTCTTCTATTGGCGCTTGCGGCGGAGCCTGTTGCTCGGATATGAGTCGAAACTAGTGCCTCTGAAGTTGCATGGTTTCTAAACGCGTTTGACCAGGGAATAAACATGTGGGTCCAGGCACTTTACAAATTCTAGCGTATATTACATCCATGGTTCGAAGCATTGCATCAAGAAATGAATCATGGATTCACACCGAAGGGATCCAAAAAAGCAGTACGATCGAGGCAATGTCAAGACGCAAGTCCCAGGGGAAAAGTCATTATTTTGAAGCACTGTCGGGGCTGCTCCAAGCTTCATAGCCAATATGATGATCACATAGGGGGTTTCTGGAAATTAGATATGAAGTCAAGTAGAGGCGTACTTAAGATGCCTTGAGTCCCGCCCACAGAAAAATGACATGTCACTAAGTACGGCGTACTTAAGATGCCTTGAGTCCCGCCCACAGAAAAATGACATGTCACTAAGTACGGCGTACTTAAGATGCCTTGAGCCCCGCCCACAGAAAAATGACATGTCACTAAGTACGGCGTACTTAAGGTGCCTTGAGCCCCTCCCACAGAAAAATGACATGTCACTAAGTACGGCGTACTTAAGGTGCCTTAGGTCTTAGACTTTGCAATTGCTTAGTGCTTTCTTTCCCAATGGGAGAATCCTCGGAGAACAAGGGGGACTTACAATATCTTACAATCATCGGGCCTATCGACCGCTCCTGAAGTCTCTGCGCGTTTCAACCGCAAGGCTGGAGAAAGGCCTCATCCGCGACTTGCGCGCAGCGGATTCTGCCATGAACCAGCCAGTGGCCATGGCCACTGTACAGGCGTGGTTGAAAGAAGACGCTGGGGGCAGCTGTAGCGATCGAAGAGCGGTGGAACTGCTCCAAGAGACTTGGTATCAATTTATAATGGACACATATGGGATCTTGTGGATATATGTCGAACTTGGGGTAGCAATGGAAGCACACTTGTGTTGCTTCATGTTTTTCCATTATTTTTCTCAGTATTCAACCATTATTTTGGGCGTCCAACACCTTTGAGATTGGGGAAACCAGCAACAGGTGGGAATCCTGCATAAAACAACTCAGATATGACCAACAACCAACGGGGATTTAACCAGTAGATGGAGAGAAGGGAAAAAAACACTGGTTGGCGTTCAAAGATTGTTTTTCAGTGCATCGTACCTGAGATGGTGATCCCAAATCAAGATCAATTGGAGTTATATAATACCATGTTATACCAATAAATTACAGAATATATATATATATATTATGCCAATTGACTTCAGAGCTTCTGTCCAATCACAATCCATCTATTGTATTTTCTCCTGGCTTCACTTCAAGGCGATGTCGGCGAAAGAGAAGGTCCGCAGCGTTCATGCCAAGGCGGTGAAGCGACAGTTCCATGAAGTTCCCTGGATCTGACAGGCTGGATGTACTGAAGAGTTAAGACGAAAGGTTTTGAGTGAAATCATAAATCAGTAACCTGGCACCGGACCAAAGCAAAGACGCCCCAACAAGAATCAGCTTTGGTCAACATTCAGAACTGGACATTGTTTCCTTACAAAGCATTTTGTTCAAGTTACTTCAACTGCCCACAAAAGCATTCTAATTCCAACCTCAGCCCCCAGGATTTTTGTGGGGTTCTCCCAGGGGTTCTCCCAGGGGGTCTCCCCGGGTTTCTGCCAGGGGTTCTCCCAGGGGTTCTCCCAGGGGTTCTCCCAGAGGGGTTCTCCCAGGGGTTCTCCCAGAGGGGTTCTCCCAGAGGGGTTCTCCCAGGTTTGCGATGAGTTGGTCCGTTCCGGGCAACTGGGTTCGCTGGGCCGCTGCTTCTTCCGCTGCCTGGTCCCCAACCGCGCTGACTGCGCCGTTCCTCCGCTTCGAGAGGAGACGCCGGCACCACGGGTGACACCGGCACCGCTGCCGGGCTTGTTGGGAAAGGTGCAGGTTGAAAAGAAACCGGCCTAAAGTGCTGGGAGGGCCTTGGACCATGAAAAAACATGGAAAAGCGGTAATTAATTTTATATCCTTAGTGTTTATCTTTATAGACGTATGACATATCATATGTATATATATATATATACGTAGCATTATTATATAGCAAACTCATGCATGTTGTTTGATCAATAAGTTATGGTTTGGATAAATTTAGGCTTTGGTTCTGCGTGGCTCATGGCTGCAGCTCTCAGAGGAACCGAGGTTTTTCTCCATCGAACAGATGTGGGCTCACTGTACAGAGATTTTTTGCCCAGACAAACTGCGGCACAAGTAGGTCCACAGGGGAAGGGCAGACTCGCCCACAAAAGTCTTGGAGAGTTTGCAAGTCCTCTGAAAAGCACCTGCAGAGATGCTGTAAATGCAGAAAAAATCTTATCCAGGTGTTTGATCCGAAGTTTGGGTGGTAGAAGAACAATAGAAGAACTCTATTTTTTATTGTTTGCTCTATCTGCTCTTACATAGTGCGGGTGTCTATCCAAAACGGGCGAATCATGTCGGGCCTCGGCTCTTGACGTTACCGTAGGTTACTTCGCTCATTTTCCAGCAGATTTGGACTGGCTAAAGGCAGTGGGTCCGACCTGCACAGTGGGTAGCATGATCTCTGCTGGTCCATGCAACAAGATTTGCACCAGTTCTGAATGTCGGTTTCAGATTTCCTAGTAGATATTCGATCTTTATACATTTTGATAGTTTTTGTATGTGTTTGTACATGCTTGTCATTTGCTTTGCTTTGATAAACTTGACTGAGAGCTTTGAGATGGGTTGCTCAACCACTGACGCGACAAACCAAAGCATGATATACATGGATGACTTCTCCACGTTACTCACCCTTCAGTCGGCACGAGAATGTCGTGTTCTACAGAGGGGTTTCCTCTTGCTGTGTGCAATAGCTTTGCCCGGTGGAAGTTTGAACATCGTGTCCGCGTCACAGGACGTGAAATGCCTTTGGCGTGGATAGGATAGCCTGGAAAGTTGTTTGGTCTTGGAGAACATCTAGGCTTGTGTATGATTGTGTATGTATGTCGATTATGTCGTAAACTGATCTAGTAGTAATCTTGCTGGGACGTTCCTAGTGCCCTAGTGCCAGTGGGAAGATTTGATCCTTAAACGTGTCAACGCTCTTGTTCTGCATGGTAGATGGATCTTCCTGTCTGTAAATCTCATTCAATTCTATAGTATCGCTTGGTTGACAAATTTGGTGCTGATTCTTCACTGCCTATGGGATTCGGTTCAATTTGTGGATCCCCAAACTCGATGGTCTCTGTATTTTGTATCTTAAATGGGACGGCGATCTAACATGATTTAACGGGATACGTTTATATATCATTGTTTATCTATTTGAGTTGAGAACACATATAATAACTGCTGATATAACTGCTGATACCCCTGATTTTGTGAAACTTCTATATCCCATTTGCCCAGTCATAAAACATATTGAGAGCAGGACGCAAAAGGCTCAGAACTGTTTGGTCTCCGGTAGACTCGGAGACCGGAATTGTTTAGCATGTGGACAGTACAGCTGGCATCATTTGCTGGATGCGAGACATTAGCAGCTGGCAGTTGTGCAAAGCAACAACTACACAGTTGACTGACGCTTGTAGATTAGGTGACTAGGAAAACAAGACGCGTGCTATGTGTTGTATGTTTTGAGGCTGGGTTGAGCTGTTTGCGACCTTATGACCCTCTTCATGCAGTAATTCAATTCTATGCATTTTTATAATATATGTGTACACATATAGAACGACATCGATGTTGGTAATGATGAATAATGATGAATAATGATGAATGATGATGAATGATGATAAATGATGAGGAAGATGAGGAAGATGAGGAAGATGAGGAAGATGAGGATGATGAGGATGATGAGGATGATGAGGATGATGAGGATGATGAGGATGATGAGGATGATGAGGATGATGATCAGGAGGAGGATGAGGATGATGATGAGGAGGATGATGAGGATGATGATGATGATGATGATGATGAGAAGGAGGAGGAGGAGGGTAATCATTGATGATGATGATGATGATGATGATGATGATGATTTATGATTGATCGTTGATGATTAATGATTGATGATTGCTGATTGATGATTGATGATTATGATTGATGATTGGTGATTGATGATGGTGATGACGGTGGTGGTGATGATGGTGATGATGGTGATGATGGTGATGATGGTGATGATGAAGATGATGAAGATGCTGACGATGATGACGACGATGATGATGATGATGACGATGACGACGATGATGATGATGACGACGATGATACGACGATGACACGACGATGATACGACGATGATACGACGATGATACGACAATGATACGACGATGATACGACGATGATACGACGATGATACGACGATGACACGACGATGATACGACGATGATACGACGATGACACGAAGATGATATGACGACGACGACGACGACGACGACGACGATGATGATGATGATGACGATGAGGAGGAGGAGGAGGAGGACGATGACGATGACGATGACGATGACGATGATGATGATGACGACGACGACGACGATGACGATGACGATGACGATAACAATGAGGAGGAGGAGAAGCAGGGGGAGCGCCATCAGGGTCATCAGGGTCATCAGGGTCACTATAGGGTCATCAGGGTCATCTGGGTCGTCAGGGTCGTCAGGTTGAGGAGTCATCAGGACAAGAAAAAACTGTGCCCCCAAGAATACCAAAGTCTACAAGGCTAAACCTCCTGGAAGTGAATCTCTAGAATGCCTTTGCACAATGGGAGCCACCCAATGAGGCCGCAAGAATACTGGACGCATGAACCAGGATTGGAATGACCCCTGGGTGTCAGTATATTCATCATCAATCCAAGGATCATGGCTTGGATTCCTCTGATGGGCTACATTCCTGCAGGATTGGACAGCATCAAGCCATAAAGGGCACTGCCAGGAAATGGAAATCCCTTTGCACAGCATTTACGATTCCCCTTTTCAGCGTTTGGCGGAACAGTTCATCGGAACACCAAGATGAATGTCCTGCACATGCTGGACCTTTGAGGCTGTGTCATGGATCCGTAGGCCTCCAAAGACAATGAGATTCAGTGCTGAATGATTACCTGCATGCGGATAGCGAGCATAATTACCACTGATTGAGATCATTGATCATGATGTACAAAGTATTCTGTTATGAATGCCATATGCACTGTGTAATGATTGTTCTGTCGTCTCTGGGAACATCCGATCGCAAAGACTTGTTCATCATTTCAACCAGTTGCTGCGTCCGACGGTTCTCACGCCTGCTGGTCTGGGCCCCAAGTTGGGACTTCCAGGTGGGTTGCTGCTGGTCATTGGTGAGTCATCTAGGGCGGACTGTCCACTTCCACGTGAAGTACTTACTTCGCTGCACCTTCAAGTTTTCCAGTCTGGTGGGAGAAATGCATGGTCAGTTGATGTCAGTTGTAGCCACACTCAGAGTGATCCTCCCCGCCAATCTTCAACTGTGTGGGGGAGAGAGAGGTTGGGCAATAGGCAGAGACAACTGAGCAGTGACCCTCGTCAACCGCAGTTGATGGAAGTTGATGGGGGTGCAGCTTATTAGTGTTGTAGCATAATATAGAATCATACAGTCCGCCAGTGAGGTTTCTGAAACTCCTCAACGCTGGGTACCTAGGTCTTTTTGTTTTTATTGTGCTCACGTTAGCAATAAACCAATAAACCTGTGAAACTGAATTTCTCATCATTTCTCCTATCCTATCTCAAAAATGTTTGCTGGGTATCAAATTTGTCATGAATTGTTTGGTGCTGTCAAAATGCGACATTCGCGTCCAAGGTGCGGCGTCATGCCTTTTCCACTAGGCATGACCGTTACGGGATGAACAACGATGAATTACAGTTGACTGCTGAATTGATGTTATATTAATGTTAATATTATTTAATATTGATTAATTACCTGTATAAATATATAGGAAGCCCAATCATGATAATCATGATCAAACTCAGTTTTTGAATCTTGATTTACAAACCACCAAATAACACAAGACTGGTTTACTGCATTAAGAAACTGACATACAAATCAGTTGAGCGACGAAATACCGATGATTGCTAATTTTGCAAGATTCGTGCGGGTTTTACAAGCAATGAAATGGTTCCAATGGCATCATGTTCCTTATGTTCCTTTCGCATCTCCCAGTTTCTGCTGGTAACCTCGCCATTTCGTTGGTGACGCAAAGACAAAGCAGCGGTTCAAAATCTCCCGTATTTGTACTTGTTGGTTGGCCCATCCCACTTCAAATTCCCAGTTCTTTGGCTTCGTATTGTTCTTACCTCATGACTATTTGCCATCCATAAAGCATCATAAAACCATAAAGGTACCTATTTGTTACATGAAATCTCCATGCCGGGTAACCAGGAACGAACGTAGGCCCCCCGTTGTGCCCCGTCCACGGATCTTAGTTTGGTGCATAGATGCCGACAGGTATTCGTGCCATGGGCTAAATAGAATCCCTATTAGTTCTAACAATTACACAGTATGCTGTACAACGATTAATTAATTAATAGCTACTAAGTGGATTTTAATTCTAATTTTTGATTATGTTAAACAGAGATCATCAATAATCATGATCATCACTAAGCATACTAATCAAATTAATAGTATACTGTAATATACTGTATGTATTGTGTATTTGCTTATGATATGAATATACCATAATATACCAAGATCATCTCTAAGGCCCTATGGCCCTATGGCCTATGGCCAAGAAAACGGTGCCCGAAAACGGTGCAGGCTGTGACGATGCCGAGCTCTGGCGGCCCAGGCAGATCGAAGCCTCCAAAGGCGACTTCGATCCCAGCGAGGCCGGCGACTTTCGAGGGCGAACGAAAATCATGGGAGTTATTGGCAATTATTGGGGATTACAAAAGATATTAGAAGATATTGGAAGATATTAGAAGATATTAGAAGATATTAGAAGGATATTAGAAGATATTGGAAGAATTCAGTTCAAGTAATTGAATAGTAATTATTATACTAATGTTATTTGGTATTGAAAACAGGAGTGGCAATGTATTCAAGCCCGGTTGTTACAAGTTCAGTGTAGTTCAATTTGAGTTCAGTATAATTCAGTATAGTTCAGTATCATAGTAATCATACTTACCCTGCCAATCCGGGGATGTGGCTGGACATTTGCAATTAGTATATAGCATTATATAGCTACCCACGGATTATCATTATCCATCAGAATTGTGTTGAGTGCTGTGGTCAGATCCGGTAGTCGGTAAAGAGATGGAATTGGTTTGAAGGCTTATTGAACATAATAAATAAATGAACTTGAAATCAATCAGGGATGATGCAGTTTTGACCGAATCGTTGGTATTTTTCTTTGGACCACAATTTAAGCCATGTTCATATCATGGGTTGATTGGGATGTCCAAGTTTGGCTGGTAACACACATTTTAATATCAACGTATGTTAACGAGATATTCGTGATGACGATGGTGATGATGGTGGTGATGATGGTGATGATAAGGCGAAGGATGGAAAGGACAATGATTATGTAAGCGAATAACATGTTTTATGAGCGAGCCCGCTCGATCAAAGCAGCCATACCGGGGCGACTCCTAAAGCAGATGTTTGCTGTTTATATCGTGCGTTAGTGACAACTCTTTAATGTCCTCAGAACCACCATGCCTCACTTCTTCCATCCATTTGATAGTTTATCCGGCTACTCACGGCGGAATTGCGCCTTCAACGCTATTAAAGTAATGCACCTACCATCTAGGCTCAAACCATTTGCGGCTGGGTCGTTTTTCTACATCATGTTGGTCTAGTACTAAGCCATCTCCTTTCTGCAACATTGACATTTGACCCTTAGCGGTTTCATTCACAACCGTTTATCACAACTGCTGACCACTTCAGGAAATCATCCCAGTTGCACCTCCGGAACAGGATCCCTTGGACCACTATGTCAATACATGCGGTGGACAAAAGGTGCCCTGGTGCAGTGGAGTTGGTGCCTTCTGGCTGGGTCAGTGCGGGGAGTTACAGTACCTACATGGTAGATGTTGAACCCCACTTTGAAACTGATCGGGGACAACATTTTACAGGGTCTTGCGGGAACAGGGCCTTGTGGGAACAGAATGAGAACAGCGTTTTTGTGATGAGCTCGAACTATTTTCCTGGTGTCATTTGGTGTTCAAAAGCTGGTTGATTGTGGATGTTTGAATGACATATTAATGAAATGTATTAATGATATATACTGTGTATATTATATATATATTTATATATAATGATATTGGACAATATTGGACATCTTTCATTTTGATGCATAAAAACTTGATTTTCGTTGAGGCCTTGCGGAGGATTCTCATTGCATCCAACGGCATGGCAGCTGCCAAGTCCATCATGTCCATGCGGCAGTGGGCGCATATGGAGGTACGGTTAAGGGAAAATGTTGGTGAAAATAGTTAGTGGATATCTATATATCTCTATATATATGTATATTTAGTATATAGATATCCATGGATATCTATATACTATATATATATATAGATATGAATATGTGGACATATTGATCTTGACCATCAATCTCTCTCTATACAAGAATCGGATTTTGTTCACATGCAAATGATGGTGGGTTGACAATTGATGGGGTGGAGTAAAGGTAATAAAACCTAACTCACGGATCCGAAAGACAGTGAGGTGGGCATGATATAACAGAGGTCAATTTGGATAGTGAAGGCTAAGAAGGGTTTCTCTTTGTTTTCTTATTGTGTTGTGCTTTTCTTCTTGCCTTCAGAAAAAATATGACAAGATCACTATTTCCTGTATCATTCAACTTCAGCCCTTCGGTTATCTCCCTCAGTAAGCCAACCGATGAACTGCACGCTTGATCAGTCAGTGCAGAGTCAGTGAAGGTGAGCAGCCCAAAGATGGCATGACAGCATATGATTTGAAGTCGAAGCATGTTGAAACAACAAGGAAAGGGAGATATGGATACCTCACCATACATTGAGCTACCTTTTTGCCCTTGTTTTATTTTAGACTATCAAAAATGCCTATGGAACCGGTCGATCCCTTGGTCAGGCAGGATTGGGTTCTAGCGGCATTTTGGAGTTCATATCTATGGCGACCAGAGAAGATTTGGATGCTGGGACTACTTGGGAACCATTGTTTGATGATTTTCTCATGATTTTAGATGTTATTTTTTAGTGATAGATGTGATTGTGCTGTTTGATAGCATTTGCTCATTCAGGATCATTCAGGTGATTCTTGATGGCAATGTTTGATCATCCTTGATGGTTTTTGTGATCTACGTGCTTGACAATCTTCAGAAACAGCAGATAGCACTGCAGACGCCAAGTCGGAATGAAAGTTTGTCCATGAAAGCCAAAAAGGGAACATGGGAGCTTGTCATCAAACTCAAAGCCAATGCTGCTTATTGGCAATGCCCCAGCGCATCCACGCTGCATATTTGAGGATTCCAACGCTGATTTCATCCGCCTTGCGGACAAGTACATCGAAGTGCCTTCTGGGAAGAACGTTACTTGACTGAACGTTTGCAGTCAAAGAGAGCTGAACCGTGATATTCTGGCCTTCTTTGCAGCAACATTTGGACAATTGCGTTCAACCACATGCCCAAAAGAAGATGCAAGGCACTGGAAGTTCCACGATAGAATCCCTTGTATTTCTTTGCTGCGTTTGGGTGTCCAACTAGGTAGCTAGACCATCGTACGGGCCACGTCAAGAGGTGCTTACCAAACCAAGATGTTTTTTTTTTTTGCCCTTCAAGGGATCCATAGGGATACCGAAACCGCATGGTTTCCTGCTTCAAACTTATCCAACTTATCCATAGTGAGTTCTGATTTGAAGGATCCCATAGATATCCCGTGGATCCAAAGGTCAACAACTATGCCAACGTGGACCTCATCTGCAAACTCGCGCAGTCCGAAAAGGTGGACGCCGTGTGGCCAGGACTGCGCATCTTCTTGTGGGGGTTGTTGTTGGAGTCATTTCTTTAAATGACAACAATGGAAAAAAAATGGAAAATTGGACACTCACTCCCATTTTTTGGAATGACCAACAAATGAATACAAATGACTAATTTGGATGTTTAACACATCCCCGACGAGTTTCCTTGAAACTTACAACAGCATCCGCTACTTTCTTATTATACAAATGGTTCATTTTCCATTCGAAATTGGGAATACCTGAAAGCCGTAGTTGCCTATTGTTTCAGGATGTTTCAGGCTACTTTGGCCTCGTAGCCCACTTTTGGGTCACTTTATATCACTTTGCAATTTTTATGCACAAAAAAGGCACCTCATCTTCTGGTGCAACATGTTTGGCAAAAGTGCCAAACATATCCGTAAAAAAGCCGTAAATACCTGTAAAGTGCCATGAGTACCCGTTGTCAGCCTACTCCCAAATTAAAGTGGTACACGTTCCAGTGACCCAAATTCCGGGCACTTTGGAAAGTGCCCAAAACATCCCAAAACAATGGGCACTAGGCTTTCCAGGTACTCGTAACTATCCTATTATCCTCATATTACCCATATTTGTTCCATGTATCATAGTTATACTAAGTTATACGTGTTTTTTCCATTTAACATTCCACCAACATCTCCCAACGAAGACTCCGAGCTCTTCAGGATGGGGTCACGCCTCGGAGAATCCGCGCCTTCCGGCCAAGTTGAAAGAGACGCTCGAAGACCTGGGCTTTTTGGATCTTTTTGGGAATCCCACCGCAAGAAACGCACCAAGTAGGGATCCAAATGATCGAGTTTTTGAAGATGAAGACACCTGGGATCCAAATGGGAGGGAACGTTGTGACAGTCCAAGCCACTTTCCAAGCCACTTTATGGCTATATTCAGCTAGCCGCTGCCCATGTCTAACAGCATCTTGTTGAGGCAGTCATGTGCCACCTGAACCTGAGGATGGGCATCACCTTCATCGGCCCCACATCTCCAGTGATGCAACTTGCTGGAGGTTCAGACTCTTATAGTGTGGTTGATGACCATGATGAAAGAATAAAACATTTGGCATAACATAACAGAGAGAGAGAGAGAATATCGTAGTCAGCTTTTTTGGTAGGTGCAACCAAAAGTTAAACCAAGACCTTAACACATGTGCTTGCGTGCAAAAGCCTATAGGACGGGTCAACAAGCACTTAAAGTGACATTATGGATGTCCTGATATGTCCCTTTAGGTTGCGTCAAATCAAGGTCATCTCCTCTTGGTGGTTGGTTAACGTCCCAGGATGTATAAAGATCGCATGCTGTAACCATTGTAGAGGTATTGGGAAATTATCACGAAATCTGGATGTTTTCATCCCCGCATGGCATTGGATGAATGGAACACCTGTAGGAACCCCGTGCAAACCATGGTTTCCAGCAGATGTTCAATACGAACTGTCCCTTGTTTCATAGGCCAAAGTGGAGGTATCATAGTATCTTTATATGCTTAATTAAACACAGAATGGGAATATGAATTGGTACTGTATATATACAATCATATAACAAGTTTGATATATCATATCATCTATTTTCAGTTGGATTTTTCCAAGGGTTGGAGACCCAACTCACCAGCCCTTTAGGTCCGTGCTGGGCGACAAGATCGCGGCGGGCATCCTGGCGCAGACGGCAGGCGTGCCGTCCATCCCCTGGAGCGGCGATGGGCTGAAGGCGGAGTTGACCAAGGACGGAACCATTCCGGACGAGACCTTCAAGAGACCTGGCTGCAGACCTGGCTGCCGAGTTTGTTGCTGGGTCAGATTACCAATGGAAAAATAGTTGTAGGGTGTCTTAAATTTCGCAGCAAGAGACTCGGTAACTGCTGGCTTGGTGTTGGGTGGATGTTTTTGGCCAAGCTTTTGGGGATGGTCCAGCCCCACGGTCAGAACGCTCCAACAGATTCCAGGACAAGCATGGATACTGCGTTTGGTGGAACTAGCCCCAATTCTAGGTTTAAAAACACCAAATTCATGAAACCACTGGAAGTTGTGTGCAAAAATGTAAACACATACATTTGCAACATTGACATACATCTTTTCCTGATTTCCTGAAATGCTTGTTGCATCTTGTTGCCCTGAAGTCAATCCACTTAACGTCTTAACCAAGACCATTTTCGCCCAGGAAGGCTTGTTTGTTCTCTGTTCAAGATGCTGTGCAGTGTGCGGAGCGCATTGGTTATCCAGTGATGCTCAAGGCTTCGGAAGGCAGGGGTCGTAAAAAAATGGTTGATGGGCAAGGGGGTGGAGGCAGGGGAGTCCCACAACTCTCAAACCGTATAAAGTGTGTCTTGACTTGTTATTTGTGTCATCCCTATATGAATCTATATGATATATGAGTCATGAGTTAGCTGAGTCATGAGTTAGCTGAGTCATGAGTAGTAATTAAGTTAAATTAACTGAGCAAACTGCTTTGGATCGGCTGAAACCACCAACCAGCTCTCTGTCCAGTACTGAGTCCGGGGTTTGACCACACCTTTTCTGCAGTCGAAGCACCCCTCGAAGTATGCACAGCCAAGTTTTGGGATGTTCATTTGTGTTCCCATATGTTCCCATACTTTCCCATCCGTTTATATATATATATAATATTATTGTTCCTCAGTTCTTGGCAGCCCTTGGCTCACAGGTGGGGGCGGCAAGGGCATTCGGATGTCCAAGAGTAAGGAGGAATTGGAGACGAATTTCGTCCAAGTGCAGACACTTGGCTCTTGGCTCACCACTTCAGAAATGTTTGGTGTAGGATGACGCTGAGTTCATTTTGCTGGGACATTTCTTTGACATGTTTTGCATGATTTCCCCATAATGGGGGGCAGGGGAATACGGAATACATGGGACATGAGCTCAGCCCTAAAAGGTAGGTTAAATATGTTGGGACTGTGGGGTAAAGTTGGTGCGCCATGTTTTCAAATTGAGGCATGAAATGTAACGGGAAGGCCCTAGCTTTTGGGTGCGTAAATTGCGAACCTTCACAAGAACAAAATATACATTGATGGAAACATGCATCAATTGATCATATGCAGGGATGTTGTTGATTGCCCATTGGACAATGCATTATTTGGGTGAAGTACTGGTATTGTATAATTACTCGTTATGCTATAGCGACCATCATGCAAATCCAACTTCCACCAGTGGGCCCAACTAATCTAAGGTCATCAATGGGCCCAACCAGTTAAGGCAAGGTAGCGATTCCCTTTCGTCCGAGGTCTGAAGTGCCTGGATCGCCCATCTTCATGATGCAGCTCTGAGTCTCGTTCGAAATTTCATATTTTGCCAACTGTGATGAAAATCCTCTGGGGCCTTGGGTCTCAATGTTCGACCCTATGGTTATTGAATGTGGAAAACAGTTGATATGCTGTATGCGTCTCGCTATCTCAATAAAGACTATACAATCAAGCAAAGAACATATCTGATCATGAGAGTTATGGCCAGGAAGTATCAACTGCCAGGTTGAAGGGTACTGGGATACCCATTCACTCCAGTCAGTGTTTTAGTTCATCGTTTTTTTATGGTTTCCTGGCATGGCTTCGCCCCAGATGGCGTCAAGGCACGGGAGCTCGTCACATCGAAGTGCAAATCATGGGCGACTCGGGCAGGGTGCAGGGGATGATCATACGGCATGATCCTTTAATGATAAGCAAGCCCACAACCAGAAACCCCGGTGGAATACAGTACATAAATGTACATAACATATCTTCATTTTGCATGGGGTTGATTATTAGAAAGGATTGACATTGCCGAAGGGGAATTCGACCCAGAAGATGGCATTTCATCAATGAAGATTGCTCGGTGAGAGAGAACATGAATAGGAACTGGAAGGAGCCAAAATGCCTTGGAAGAGAAATGGTTGGTTTATTTGCGTTTATGTTTGAGAATGGACTGAGAACCATGCAGAACTTATGCCATTGTCCAAGTATATACAGTATGCATATGGGAGTGCTGTATGATATTGGGATAAAAAAGAACATGGTCGTTAGTGTTACTCTATATACGTAGATAGAAATAGGCAACAATCAACTATAATAAACTGCTCAAATTTGTCGATGCAAACGCATGTTGCAAGGATGATTTCATGTCTTCACTTTCCATTCCTGGTATCATTGGCCCAGCTAAGAGCCACGAAGAATCGGCACCATGCAGACGTTTCTACTCAGCCTAAGGCCAAACCTGTCTTGAATGCATCCTTTGGTAAGCAGAGATGGTATGTTCATATATAGTCATATACAAACATCACTCCGTTTCTGGGAATTTCCTCTATTTCAACATTTTGCATTGAAGAAATATGCAGCTGGATGATCCAGCAGACTGTGTCCCAGGTAAATCATTGTGCAGAGAATGATACATCCCTTCAACGGCCGTCAAAGCCTCAGGCGACCAGCATGGCTCGGTGGTGGCCTTAAGCGGCCGCGATTGCTCCACCCAGCGGCGCTTTCAAAAGATCTTCGAAGAGGGGCCGCCGGTGATCGCAGCTCGGAAGCGGATCTGGCGGATCTGGTTGGGACATGGATGAAACTCGGGGAGGGTTAGTACTGTTAGTAAGTACAAGATACTATATGAATATATATATATTACATATACATATATTGTACAACATTATACAAGGTTTTCTTCTAGTGTTTTTGACCGACACACATACATTAATTAGATAGGTGTACTCTCCATGGAGTCAGCGGGGTGACAAACGAATGAACTGAGTGCACGCATGAATGAATGGAATGAATGAATGAATCAGTCAAACCAACGAATACACAAACGCCACGTAAATATGTATATGATTATGGCTGGGCAATATATCATCAAAGCACTATCGCATACTATCGCTTTGGCTGAAACTCCTAGCTGGGCAATCAAAAGTCCTAGCAGTCTGGCTTGTTTTTTTTTACTGTGACTGAGCTTAGCCCTATAGTTTTTACATGTTTTTACATGTTTCTGCTACCATCAGTTATGTTTGATCCCCATGAAAGATTTATAAAGGTTCTGTGTCAAAACCAAAGCTCCCAAGGCCCAAACAATCCCCGACATAGGTATAGGTGATCGCGCCAATGCAGTTGGTTCTATTCATGCGTTTTAATGGTCCTAGGGTTTCAACCCGCAGTTAATGACGTTCTCAAAATCGTGTTGATGTAAGGATACATGTGCAGGAACCCCAAAAAATTGTTGCTCAGATCCCAATGTTTGGTGGTCAAAGTGATCAAGGTCCTGAAAATTGTCGGTAAACTAGGTAAATTATAGGTATAACATGGTATAACTTTGATCATTGACCGAATCTTTGATGAGTTTTGTTGATCTTTACCTAACCAACCGAGCTAATGGAGCTTCGGGCTTCGGGCTTCCGGGACGTCGCCTACGCTGAGGTCCCTAAGTCCACCTTTAAAGAGATGGAACGTGCAGCGCAGCGCTTGACCCAAAGCATTGGCTACATCGGTTCCTTCGACGGCTATGGCTATGGCTATGCTTTTGGGATGTGGGATGGGGGCGTTGATCATTAAAATATCATTGAAATATTGAAGATCCATAAGTTCTAATATAAGTTCACTGGATACGAGATGATACCATGTTAATTATGTTGACTGATTTGGGGGAAAGTGGAGATTTGACCCGCAGGAGAGAACATCTGGATTTTACCGTATTGAGAACACCTGATCTTTAAAGATTTCGGCTGAAGTAGAAAGACAACTGGTTTATTTGACCATGGAGAACACACCCTAAGAAAGTCATAGAAAGTCAACGTGGATGAAACGTGGCCATTGAGCCTTAGATTGGTGGTATAGCCCATTTGTCCACATCCATGGCCACAGCTGCTTCTGAAATGAGGTGCTGGCACTGTGGAGTATCTCTACAACGCTGAGACGAACCGCTTTTACTTTTTGGAACTGAACCCGAGGTAGGATGGTTGATCGGAAGGTTTGAACATGGTTTGAACATGGCATCCATGTACCTGGAATCAGTTGGCCAATCACCTATTTCATGTTGTTTGTTGGATGATTTTCCATGTTCCATGCCCAACGGTGGCATATTACACCTCCAATTCACAAAAGAAATGTTGATGGGTGGCTCAACCACCAGACTTATCTCTTCTGAAACCCTGCAGGTTACAGGTGGAGCACCCTGTGACTGAAGCCATTACGGGAGTGACCCTTGGTGGCAGTGGAGAATGGCATAGGCTCAGATCGAGGATTGATCCCCAATATGTCTGACTTCACTGGACTTGAGGGAACAGTTGTCGGAAGACATGGTTTCTTAACCATCACGATTCAATGCGGGGTTCTGGTTTCCTGTGTGCGAAATGTTGCCTCAATCCAAGGCAGTAGGATGCCGTGGGACTAAGATGGCCTCAGTGATGCTGTGAAACTTTGGAATCTCCTCATTTGGGCCTTTGGAGTCACCTGGTAGCCAGGGGTTGCCAGGGATTGGCTGAAGATCTTTGGTCCACCCTGCCAGCTCCAAGTCTTGAAGATCAGTCTCTAGTCACTCCAATCTAGAGTTTCCATGTGGCCCAGATTCAAACTTGACAGATTTCTACTGCATCTTGTCTCGCAAAGAATCAAAGAATCATACGACAAATGCTACACTAAACCAATCGATTCAGCTGTGACCTAAGGAACATGCCGGCCACCCAGCTGCAAGTGGCCATGGGTATCCCCTTGGATCGCATGCCGCAGATCCGCAATTTCTACGGCCTTTCCGAAAAGGAACTGCTGGGAGGGAAGGAGGGTCGCTGGTGGTGAAATCTTTGGAACGATGTGTCAATTGACATTGCATTGCTACCTTGTGTAATGTTTGTAATGTTATATATTCCTTTTTGGAAGAGGTCCATCTTGGACACCGGCACATTTTCCCGGTTTTGGGCTTCGGAGGATCAACAGTGCATACACAAAGCAGATCTTTCGCAAGAAATAGGTTTGAATCCCTATGGCATCCCATCATACTGTTTTCCTCCCCAGTCCGTGGATACCAGTGGGTTTCCACCATCCTTGACAGGATCGCACGTCGCGCATCGATTTCATGAAAGCCGACTATGTGTATCCCAAGGCGTGAACATAACTGAGGAGTTTTGTCGGGAACCCCGATGGGTGGCAGATGAATTCGGAAATTGCCACGCCTGGGTTCAATATAATTAGTTGGAAGGTGAATTACTAACTATCAATTCAGATGAATTGCATTGATTTCTTCCCTATTAATATCATGTGGGTAAAACAATGTCATAAAACACGCATTTGGGAATGGTAGTAACCATACCAACATATACCAACTATTTATGGTGATTTTGGGGATGGTTTATTGTTGTTTTACCCACCACCGGGTCGCAGGTGCATTGCTTGGCGGCCCGCATCACGGCGGAGAATCCGGACGATGCCTTCAAGCCCACCAGTGGAAAGATCGAACGCATCAAGTGCCCTGGTGGAAGCGGCTTTCGTCAGATCCAGTGGGATAGAGCCAAGGTTTTTTGGGATCTGAGGATAAGGGGTGCTGCATAATTCATGATGGAATATAAGGATGGATAGTTACTGTATGCTATATTAACATATAAAATATCAATATACATATTATAAGATAGTGGATATAGAGTCGTGTATGGTTGCTGTATGGTGTATACTGCAACATAACCCAAGATATCATTTTGGGCGTTTGCACCAAAAAAACCCTGTAACGTCAGTGTTACTATAATCGGAAAACATTATAAACGATTACAGTAGATGTTCTTTTCATTTCTTCAGTATACCCTATACCGCCCATACCGCCTATACCACATGTTTGGCAAACTCGTCTACATGTTTGAGTGGAGGTGTCAGAACAGTTGAGCTGAACCACCATGTTTTTTGGTTTATCATCATTATGTCATATATTATATATTGCAATATTATGTCATGTGACATCTTTTTGGCTGGTTATATAAGGTTATATATTATATACTATTGAAGTATATTTAAGTGAGATAACAAACCAACTCTCCAATTCTTGGTCAAGCCTATGGGCCAGAATCTGATATGGTGATGGACCGGGCCCTTTGTAACATTTGGTTGTCCAACTGTGGGTCCACTGCGACACCTGGAACGCCAAATGACCAAAGAGATTGGGGTTTGGCCCACCTTTTCCATCTGAATCTGTAGAGATGAATTACTTTCTGCACATGAGAATGTCCCATTGAAATATCAAAGTACCAGAGGATAGTTGGTAGATCCATTTTTTCTTTGCGTAGCATTTGGAAATCAATGTTTTTTGGTCGAGGTTGTTTGAGACAGGTTGGTGTGTTTTGAGAACGCTGATGAGATTGTTTTCAAGATTCGAAGAAATGGAGTCTCCATCGACAACTCCGAAGAGACAAAACACCAACACCAAAGGAAGAGGGGCAGACCAGCAAATTATATATAATTATATATATATATTATATATATATATACTGATATATACTGTATACTATGTATATATATATATACACATTATATCTATAACCAAAACCACTCAGGGTCTCACTCTTGAGACCAACGGTAGCGCTTTAATAGGCATTGGCAGAGCAAATGAGTCCACTCAGTGGTATCATGCACACAATGGAAAGCATTCAGCTGAATGTTCCGCGAGATAAAGATCAACGCCACAGTGAGCACGGTGATGCACAGTGAGTAGTGATCAGAGACTATCAAAATTTGATGTCATTTTTCTGCCCTGAATTTGGATGTGGGAAATCCCAACGTAGGACCTGATTGCTGCCATGGCCAGATGACAGCGATGGTCCCCTGCCAGTTATAGCTGGCAGGTGCCCCAAAGTCGAAACCGTTTCGCAGGTTTCAAAGCTCGGTGGCTTGCTGGGGATACTTCAGCGTGCCTTGGTGCTGGGGTGGGATCAACTGGGTGGTAAAGTGTTGGTGATAGATGATTGAAATGGACGGATTGGTGTTCAACGATTCTGACGGAATATCTCTGAGATGTCAAGTTGTTTCAAATAGATCAGTCCAATTTGCTGTTGCATGGTGTCTAATGGAATTTGGGTGGCGGCTATAATCATGCGGGGATGCTCGAGCAAAGGCAGCAGGGTAGGGGTCGAAATTGCAAACTCCATGAGTTTAAACACGTGCCCCAGTTTTCACCTGTGCATGTGAGACTTGAGTCCACTCCAGGTCAGAATTTCGGAAGCCTCAATTGGCTTCAAGTGCCACCTAGCCCCACAAGATAGGAGCAGTTGTTGCAAGTAGGATTTCGCCTTGCCCAAGTTGCACGTAAACCGCAAACCCTGAAAAAGGCAACCCCAGAAAACCAGAAAAAAACACCAAAGAAACAAGATGGAACTACTGATGCTCCATGTTTTTTCCTGCTGTGGTTGGCTGATTTGCTCCATGGCCAGGTATGGACACACGCAGCCATCCACGAGTTTGCAGATTCGCAGTTCGGTCACCTCTTCGCCCGCGGAGAGGACCGGGAGGAAGCGCGGAAGACGCTGGTGCCATGGCTAAGATGGAGGGATGGCAGAATGGGCTTAGGCTAGGGATGTTCTTTTGACCATAGAAATCGATAGAAATCAATGGATCATAGAAATAAACACATCAATTTCCCAATTTCCAAGGAGGGTAAAGTGTTAAAGATTCTTTGAGAAAGAACATGTATTTCTTTGATGTTTACGAGGGCTATAGGGACGATTCATTTTATGGTAGTGTTGAGATTTGCCTGTTGTATTGCGAATATAGGATGTGGATTGTCATTTGAGGGTAGGGTTGGATTCAATGTTCTGGTTCCGGCAAGGTTGTTTGCTGTGACACTATATAGCTGTTTTTTTCCATTTTTTCCCAGTCACCGCAGCAGAATAATTAGACTCCGTATAACTGTCCCTGGGCAGAGTTCATTTCGTAACGTCGATGGCGCCCGAATCCTATGAAAACAGGTTGAAGTACTATAGCACATACATTGAGGACCACGAATCCATAGGGTTTGCAACAAAGGAAATCTGTTAAAGGAAAATGGAAGGTTCACCAGCTTAGGATTGATGCAAGGGGCAGAGGTAGTCATCGCGAATTAAGTGTCATGATTCGACGCGTCCCTGTCTAAACATGCCTGGTGGGACAGTGGGACTATGCTTTGGTTCCCCAATGCTCGGAAGTGCCTACACTGTACAGTGAATTGATGTGCGACCACTCAAAAGAATGATCTCCCAATTGTAACTTCCAAGTTGGGGTCCAAACATGGTACCAGCCTATTTTAGTCCCTTGGGCATGTCCAAACACCTGAGAAATCTCACAAATCTTCCAAAACAACTGAAAATCTATCGCCGCAAGGTACACCACCCCTGGGGTTAGTGGGGTTGGGAGCCCCTGCATTTCAGAGGTCTTGGCTCTACAAAACCTGGATGTCGTTGGTGAGATCCGAAGCTTCACTTGGGAAATACTGGGAAAGCCTGGGTGAAATGTAGTTTCAATATGTTTCAATATGGTTAATTAATGGTTGGGCCATCTAAAGACTTGGCCATTTGTTTGGGGGACGCTACCTATCGGTTTGAATTTGAACCAAATTTTATATTTGAGCCTGGGGAATGAGGTGCTCCAACATGAGTTCAAGAGTGAATCCTGGCAAATTTGGAGGTTCTGTGTTGCTATTTTGGAGAATTTATCGAACAGTGTCATGAGTGTTGTGCTACCAGGAGTTCCCAGCCAACCATCACCAGGGGGTTTCATTGTCCACTGGCAGCTTCCATGGGGTATGACAATCGCAGGGGGAGCTGGGGTTCAATTAGTTTGCTATGGTTGGAGCCTGGGTGTCGTTATGTGGTTCCAAAATGTTCCAAATTTGTAACCCCCTAAATTACCCATCAAAATCGCTTTTGATTTATCATAACTGTCCCTATCAACATGAATTGAGGGCACATAGGCATTTTCGGACAAAAGCAAATCCCATTATATATATCCCATTATATCCCATTATATCCCATTATGTCATATTATATCATTGGAATATGTCATATGTTTGTCATATTTTGTCACCATTGTGGTCGGTTTAAAGGAAGCATAACCGAAGATTCTCCACCAGGTTTCTGGGGCAACACCAACCATTCCAAGGAACCCCGACGGACTATTTGGTGCAGCTGTTGCAAACTGAGGTGCGCAGTGCACGGCCTGTTTGACGCCCAACTGTCCCACATGACTAGCATTCACCAAGGGACTCAAAGGGAAAGAAAACGCTGGTGCAACGAAAGGGAAATCCCAGCAGACATTAACTACTGAATAGCTAGTTAGTAATATGTCTATACGTGGGGCTTGATTCCAAACAACTACCGAAGGTTTTGCTGACGGACAGAGTAGAACCTCAAGCGGAATGTACCTGTACTTGCAAGTCGATTGTTTCCCTTCCAAATTAGGTGGCTTTCGAGGGAAGATGCTTACCACACGTGTCGTGACATTTCGAGAAATGGTGCAGTATTCTTGAAGACTCTATCTTGCCCTTGAAAAAGAGAATGCATGAGTCCAATTGCCCCCCAAATATATCTAAAAGGAAGACTCATTGTCATGTCTAAAAGGATGTACTGATTCTTGAAACAAGTCTTTTGCTTCAGGAAATCCACCAATTTTTTGTTCCCAGCTGGTCTCATCAGTGGCTATGCAGGCCTTTAAGCGCAACAAAATCGACACCAACTGGTTGGACGGGCTGATCCGTGAGCGTGCTGTGCGCTTGAAGTATGAGCATCTTGTTCCAAAGAATTCCAAAGATGTCCCCACAGACAGCTTCCCAAAAGAGTGTGGGGTGGGTATGGGTCAAAATGCTTCACTCCCAAAATGGATGGTCCAGTGCTGGAAAGGGCCAATTCTGCTAGTTCATTTGTACCCCATGTTGATTTTTACCAAGGTGGCTCACCGCTTTGACATACGAGTGGGACTTACAACCCAGGTGATCCTGCACATTGCTGAATGTTTGTGATTTCGGCATCAGTTTCCTTCCGCACTTGCTTTTGTTGTTGCTCTTGCATCAACGGTACTAATTATTACTATTGTTCAATTCAATCCAACAATACGCCTGATAAAAGCTGTTGCAGCTTGGTAAGAAACACATGCAAAATCCTAAGACTATAAGAACACCCCGTTCCGAACATGCAACTTGGAAGGCATGGCCACGTGAGTGGAACATGAACAGAACATGATCGACTCCTGAGATGCCGACCCAAGCGGTTGCTTTGTGATGTGCATCCCAGGGAATAGGTGGTTCATGACCCTTGTTATACAGTCCCTGAACTGGCTGAAATCCACAGTAATTTGGGTTGTAGTTATGATTCACAGCTGTGTAACATCCTATAAGCACGTGGATCCGTGTGGTTGTGACTTATAACATCTTATAACTTGTTCCAACTTAACTAGACCATGCGGTATTATGAAGCAGTTAGGAACTAAACTAACTAAACTATACTAAACTTACATGAACGGTAGCGGAACATCCAACTGGTGAGGCAAGGCGATGTGGTCTTCTATGCCGCTGTGTTGCGCGCCTGTCGAGCCCTGCAGGTCATGGATGGGATCTGTGAAGACACCAGCTGGAAACAGCAGCAATTCACATAGATCGTATTGGAAACAACAGTAGCAATGTTTTCAGACAAAATGCAAACAAAGACGTTGGACTTCCATCAAGCAAAAGTTGAAAGAGCAAACAAAACATGTCGTGAGTTCAACCAGCAAAATATTCGGATGGATTAAGTCGTGGAATATCTGACTTTAGTTAACAAAGTATGTATATACTATTATATAATAATGATTAATAATGTAATATGGGATGCAACACAGACTGGAGACTGGTTGGTGGTTGAAGTATGGGATTGGCCCAGAACTCATCGACTGACTCACTGTGCTTGTCCTTTGGGCCACATGGCCTTACCTCAAGTTTGAGTAAACATATCTTCATTGTCTTCTGTATGTGGTACATACCCTGCAGAAGAAATAACAATCATGGAAAATCTTGGAAAATCCATAAAACGCCAGTAGAAGATAATTTACCCATTAACAAAAATTGAAAAAAACGGCCATTTTAATGACCAGTTTCCATTTCTAGCTGTGATTTTTTTTCGGTTTGCCAGCGCCTCGAAGGCGAAAGACCAGGAGTTGCTGCGGTCCATCGAAAAGCGCCGCTTGGGGCTCTTGCATCAGGCGAGAATGGGAGGATGTTTTTTTCGAAGATCATTCCATTAGTAAACTCAGCTTTCATTATGGATTAGTAGATGGATACTGCATATCAATGCATATCATGGATAATTATGGGGAATTACTGTAATCATGAAATGTCATCGTCATCTTTATGGTGAATGGAAGTAGTCTTGGGATTTTCATGCTGGAAATGGATTGCCTCTCTCCATCTCTTTAGTCAAACGAAACCTTTAGCAGGCTAGACATTGGCAGCATGCTTCATTCCCATGTTTCATTGATTATATTATATATTATATTGCTAATGTTGGCTTGTTAAAGCCCATAAAATCCCAATCGTTCTTGATGACATCTCCGTGATCATCTGCATCTATGACTCTAGATTTCTAGTATGATCATGTATCAAATTGTATCAACCATTATGAACAAAGATAGATACCAAGTATCAACCATTGTATCAAATATCTAGTAATATCATGTATCAACCATTAATTATGAACTGAGATATTTGGTGGCTAAAGCCATGTTGGGGAAAAAAAAAACGCTCGCCACAGGTGCAAGGCTCCTGTGCTACCGAGGTGGAGATCACCTTTGAAACCTGGAATTCTTTTATGATTTGTGGAGAATCAGTAAAACCAAAATTGGGGTCAATATGATATATATATATATAGATATTGATTTATACTATGATATTATTATATGATATGATTATATGATTTATACTATGAGTTATTTTAAAAAAAAAAAAACGTTAAAACACACACAATGTGGGATGTTCAACAGTAGACGGCGTTATGTAGTACTGTGGTATCTCATACACAGAGTCAAGCTACAAATGTGTGATCAATCAATCGTACTGTTGTACTTATAATCTTATAGGTGTCTCTCACACAGGGTCAAAGTACAAAAGCATGATCAATCGAATAAGAAGATATAAGAAGCACTATGTTCGGGCAATATTAAAGTCTTGATGGAATCATATGGAATCCCAGAGATTCTGCACCAGGAGACTAGTGATTGGTCACGCTCTGAGGAAGGCCTGAAGTACCACTTCCGCGTCTCTCGCGTCTCTGACGATGCCTTTGTGTTCAAGATTTGCGACACTGTGATCGCTGCACAGGCAAGACCTTTACAGTGGATAAACACAGTAAGCAGGACAAGCAACAGAAGTTGTTCCATGTTTCTACGGTTTTGCTCCATCAAACACTTGGTGATGTCGGAGTCTTCCTTCAGGGAACGTGAATCAAACTGCCATGGCTCACCTTGCTTTCTCTCGTTTTGTGGCGGGAATGCCACAAAAGAAGTCCAAGAGTGCAACTTCACATGTTCAACCAGAATGATATAATGCTAACAAACCTACGTATATATTGTATTCTCATCTAATTTGTTGAAGTAAATGAATTGACTATGCTTCATATACGTTCATAAAATATATGTTCGTGTGTTCACACATCTACCGGTACAAGTCACCGCTGACATGAAACATGCGAACTCCACTCAAAAGGTTCGAGAACAGCCTGACGGATCGCTCTTAGTCTCTGTCGCCCCTTGGCTGAGTGAGTCACAAAGTGCATAGGAGATCTATCTCTAGGCATCTATAGATAGATATAGATAGATATAGCATGATAGCACTATGACCAGTAAACTGGACAATTCATAGGATGTTTAGACTTTGTCCATTGCCAGCTTTGATGATCAGACGGAGTCGAAACTTCAGGCATCTTCAGTCATGATTTATTGGTCAGAAACCCACAGTGTTGCTTGCACCGGTAACAGGTTCAATGGTTCAACCCAGTATTTTTTCCAATGAAACCATTGAAACGATCTTAGCATATCTTAGCTCCTCATTTGAGTTGGTTAAAGCCGCCGCTGTCAGGACGGCAGCGTGCGTAAGATCAGTGGTTCCGAAGAAGCCTTGGGTCTCCGGCTGCGTTTGCAGGGCGTTGGCACCGTGACCTGGCGGATGGATGGTGGGATATGGTGGGATATGGTGGTTACATGTGGTTCAGGTTTTCTTAGAATCTTAGAAGTTTTTTGTGGATAGAATCTGATGAATTATGGTCAAATTATGATCAGGTGGTAAAAGATGAGGAAATAGCGAGAGAAAACCTATGATTCATGGAAACATGGAGATTTAGGACTGGTAAATTGTCCGGTATGGGTCAAAAAAGAGGGGACCGCAGATGACCTTTTGTTTATTGGTATGAACGTGTATGAAGCATCAATTCTTGGGTGCCTTAATGACTTGACACCTACCCGCGACCTGACAGCTTCCATGTAGGATTTAGGATGAAGATGAAGGGACATCATCCCAGTTCTATTCTGCAACCAACAACATGTGGGAATCCAGCCAAGAACAGGGACTCATGGATAACAACATCACACATACTCGAAACAGGTATTAATGTTGTAAAGCCAAGAATAAAGCATCCTCACTTGGGGCTTGTTGGGTATACCTGGTATACCTGGTATACCTGGTATACCTCTATTATCCTCTATTATCCTCTATTTGGCATGATTCAAAATGATCCCCAAAAGGTCGGTTACTGGGATGTTTTATTGGGTATACCCCATGAGGTGCTGCTGCCCACCATCTTCGACGCATCAGAGCTGCGCAGTGACTTCAATGGCAAGGTCATGCGTGGCTCGGTGGCAACGATGTGGGGGGTAGAACCCCATCATTTTCTATAGAACATATTTGAAAAATGTTGGGAAACTGGGAAACTATATTTATGTTTTGTTGTAGTTAAATAATAATGATTGCCGTCATACGTCAGTTACATCCATACAACATTCGGGAAAGACGACACGGGAAAATCATTCTTTGGTGCGGACAACAGTTTGCAAATGGAGGGCGATCCCTCTGTCACCGACGTGTGAGAGGAAGCAAAGGCCGGAACTGAAAGCCACCATGGGTGATGGCAACATCCTTTCCAATATATGGTGGCACATGCGTCAATCAAATTATAGATCCTTCAAATCGAGGATGTCTGGAAATCAGTGCAAAACTTCAAAACCCTACCATTCATTTCCATTAATTGCACAATTGATTCTCTGAAAGCGCAATGTGGCATTTTCAGAAACAGAAATCCCCACCATGGCCAGTGGTGCCAACGGCCTCGCCTCGCCACTCTCAGGATACTTGGTGCCTGAAGGTCAGATAGGGCGGGGGGCGGGGGGGGGGGCGCCAGACATCCCTCGCCAGACATATACAGTTAATCAGTCAATTGTGCTCTTACGATAATACCATCCCCGTAATATCCCGTAACATTAAAGACCTCCGTTCTATGGTCTCACAGAGTCCTACATATGTGGTTTTATCCCCGACATCCACTATGGCTATGGTTTCTTGGGGGTGTCTAATGTTAGGGGAAAGGGATTACTGAAGCATACTGAAACCACCCGCTTGCCAATTCTTTTTGGAGTGTTTCTGTAGAGCACCCAATTCTTGGGCCGGAGAATGCTGGCCATTGTCCATTGGCCGGAAGGTATTTTGATTTGTTCATTAGAGTATCAGATCCACCATGTTTGCATCACGGCACCGCTTAACCCGCAAGTGGACAACACCTTCCACTCCCCAAGAAGTAACTAATTATGCAGCAAACATCGTGTGACTACGTGAGCAGTGGGCTGACGGTAGCTGTTGGGGGTTCCAACCAATTGCGGTTACAGCGATTACAAAGAAAACATCGCTGTTGATGAAACCTTCATGTCCTTGGTCAACAAGTTCATGTTGATCAGGGGGTTCCCTGTTTTCCCATTTGCTCAAGTACCATGAAATTGAGTTCTTGCTCCATTTGAACCTGCTTGGTTGTTTCTACTTATATGATCTTATAATATCTTAATACATTTATTCTATGTCCATCAAAGTCGCTCATACACCATGACCTCTGAGTCCAGCGCATTTGTTCACAGGTGGTATCGTAAAGAAGGATGAAGCCTACGTGGAATTGGAGGCTATGAAGATGATCATGCCCCTGAAGGCAGGACTTAGAACTCTGGATCGAGCTTCTACTTGCCGCATCAAACACGGCAAATGCATGGTACTGCGATTGGGCAAAGTGCCAGTGCCAGGCTGGATTACCAGATGGTACTCTCATGTACTCTCTGCGGAGGTCAATACTCGCACAAAATGAGCCATAACTTACAATGTGAGGCCCCCCAGTTATAAGTTGGTTTAGATTCGCCCCAGCAACTGTAGTTATAAGTACCATAAACCATAGTTATTGGAGTTATTGGCACCAACTGAACGCTATCGAACGGGGGCACCACCTTGTAGAGTAATTCACCATGACTCTGGATCAACTTGTGGCATCGAAGGCACGAGCCACTGGGAAGCTGAAGCAACTGAAGGGCGCCAACAGCATCGTCCAAGCGGGCGAATTACTGGGCAGCTTGGAACTGCAGGAGCCTAGGACATGATAGGACTCATTGATTGTTTCTCCTCCAAAAAGGATGAAAACCAACATGATCCAACATGTTCTTGAATCATAATGAATCAATGTTACATAATCATATTTAATCCTAGTTTGATTATTTGTTGGCTGCAATTAGTTGAATCCTCCAAGCAGGATCCCAGCAGCGTGCAGCAGCTGATCGCATTCAAGGGACATTTTGTGCTACCGACCAAGGCCAGGGGCTGATTGGATGGGCACCAAGCAGATGAGACAAGCTGTTTTACAATAAGTGACAGATCTAGACAATGTGTAAGCCCCACTGATAGCCAACGTGGATGCTCATTTTTACCTAGCGATTCTTCATAAGCCGATTGGTGGTTTCAAGATGTTTCAAGTATTCTTGGATTCCAGGCTGCATCCGTATGGGATGATCATACTTGACATTTTTGTGGGTAGCTCATCCGGAGAGGGCTGATTTCATCCCCATTTCTTGTTGGATGTGTTCCGTAATCGTATGCCCATGTCCACCAAAGGGGCCATTTGATGCCATAGCTACTGCAGGCCTCAGAGTCTTCCTCCTTGTCCTTCGGTGCTCAGAAGAAAGCCATGTTGGCGCTGGAAGGCGGGCGATCCCTGGTGGCTATTGGTGGCTTAAACATGTTGTTATCTGAGTTGAGTTCAACTTGGTGACTTGGCTTGCGGTCAAAAACTATTCATTGCGAATGTGCATGAATGTGTATGAATGTGTGGAACAATCCAATTTGGGAACTTTATCCAGTGCGTGTGTATGTGATTCGGGGAATCAGTTTGGTTACTAGCCGGCTGGATACACCCTTGAATCAAAATCAGTTGATCAAGCAGGCATAAACATAAAGAAAGAGAGGTCAATTGAAGTTCCTTCTCTTTGCTAGTCACAAAAAACAGAACTTGGATGAAATATTCAGATTCGCCAAAATGCCCTTCAGTTGCTGGCTTTTCAGTTAAGCCTTGTTGAAGGGCTGACATGTGAACCCCTGAAAGGCTATGAGGTCCTTGGAAGCGCCCAAGAGTTGGCACAGGCAGTCTTTCAGAAGGCCTTGGAAACCAAGAACCTGAGAGATTGAAGATACTAAATGTGGAAACTGAATGCTGTCCCCCTGACTGTTAAGAGGCTGACAGTTGAAATCAGCATGTTGGAACTTTGGGTATATAGTTCTATATAGTTCTAATTCCATGTGAATGAGTACTTTTAAATTTTAGAGTGGGAAAAGCACAGTAGCTCCTGCATGGATTTGTCATGGTGCATGTTGTCCGTGACAGGATGCATGTGACCAGTTCTAGATGTATACTATATGGACATATACGGATTATACATATTCCGAAACAGTAGTTTTTGCCTACTATTGCTTGGGTGAATCGCTCCAACCATCCGGGCAACCATTCTCCGGAACGATTGGCACAGGAGGAATGGTTGTCAGAGGAGGAAAACGTTTCTGAACAACTGCAAGCGGCAACGCAACTGGTTGAATGCTACTTGCAGGCGCGGAGAGTGCGGCCTATTACAGCATCCCTCAACATCACCCTCTCGTGTACCTTTCATTGAACCCTCATGTTCAAAACGAAATCAAGTAGACACTCAACTTTAGGTGGCTTTTGGCAATCACCACATCATCATATATTATGACTGGATTTGCCTTAGTGCTTTCCTCAAGAATCTGGAACTGCCCCCTGGAATATGAATGGTGATAGAGAGCCATATCCCAAAAGAACCGAGATTAACCAAGCGCTTCCCAATTGGTCCCCAGGTAGAGCGCAGCTTTGCGCCGCTGCTTTCCAGCGGCTCAGAGGATCTGGCCGTGGCCGCCGTGTTGGACGCTGACGCCGGAAGCGCGGGCGCGGCCGTTGCGGCGCAGCTGAAGACGCTGCGGGCGCATGGGCGACTGAAGTCACTTGGGAAGGGCAGAGCCGGGGAGAATGGGATTTCTTTGGATATATTAATGACTGGTTGGTGGTTGGGAACATTTTTTATTTTCCCATATAATTATTAGGAAGATTCATCCCAATTGACTAATATTTTTTCAGAGGGATTGAAACCACCAACCAGATGATGAATGATAATGAATGATAATGAATATTAATGAATTTATCATGTTCAGAGAATCATCTCGCCCCCAACTACTAAAAAAACATATATAAGCCCAGCAAAAAGCCATCATCCAAGAATACTGCAGGAGACCATGGTTTCACAGTCCTGGCAATCCAACTTGAGAGTTTCC